TGAAATGCTATTACTTTTTTGCGTAGTTTCTTTAATTGATTTCTTTGATTTAATATTTCACTATATTAGAGCCCAAAATAAAATCCAGCGATTGGCCAAAGAATAATAATATTAGGTGATGCCGTTCTCGAACTATTGAGGTTCAAAGATTTTAGGTCAATGGCCAAAATTAAGCGAACTATTGATAGAGGGGAAAAATTATTCAATGCATGATGTTAACAGATCATTTTTATCGACCGATACCAAGTTTCAGCTCTCTAACTGATGTGGTTCTCCAGAAAAGTCGATTTAAATTAAAATCGAACTTAGCTGTTTTGCGAAAAAAGGAAAATTTTATTTCTCAAAATAAGTCAAGTTTCTGGTTCAGCATCAAAAGTTACCTCGACAAAATGAGTTTCAAGAAAAAATATACTTCCATAAACGTACAACAAGCGATCGAAGTTTCAACTTTGGACTCGATTTTTGTGACAACTATCGATCAGAGAAACTTTTAAATAGTATTAATTGATTCAGTTTTTATGGGCAAACATACTTACATCGTCTAAATTTGAATGAAAACAATTCTCGCTCGTTTTAGTCCATTTTTGTCAACTTTGTTTCAATTTGTGCTTAAATGAAACAATTGTGTTAAAATAAGTCTTTTTAGCAACAACCAGGTTTTAGTTGCAGTGTATTAAGTTGCTTTCGCATAAACCTTAAGATCATAATCATACAATTAGACAATTTTCGACTCTTTTTTCGCAGATTGCAGTTTTTAGTTTCGCAACTTATGTTCTGATCGACAAAAATCACATTTCAATACTAACAAGACCTTCAATGACCTGTTTCAATGACATTAAATAGTGCTTAAATGTGAAATTGTGTCTCTTTAGTTGAACAGTTTTGGATAAGTTGTTCACGGAAATGATGTTTATTTTAATAAGAGCTCAACTAAGTGTCCTATCTGAATCCAAGTCATTCCACACACACACGGGGATTTTTTCATCACCTAGCAATATGCTTCTTCACATATAAACCAATCCATACCAGCCGTCCTTACTACCGATTCAATGATTATTAAGAGCTTCGGACTGATCAAATTAACTTATTAAAATTGTCCATTAACAACGCATAATTTTCTCTGTCTTTATTACTGTTTATTATTTATCATATTTTCATTTTGTATGGTTTTAATGGTTTGATGTGGTTAGTATGACTTCGTGTAATATCATCGATTTACCAGTGTGACATTTTCTTGATAATTCTGTTGATTATCATTTATTTCATTTGAGTCTGCAACTTCTGGTTGAGATCTGATAATACTTACAACAAAATTCACTTTTGTCATCACATCACTGCAAATTTGCAACGCATCGCAACAATGAGACGATTTCGCTCAATTATTCGTTCAACAAAAACTTGAAAAGTCTAACATTTGAGATAAATCTAGGACAAAATATTTGTAGTGATTAAATTGTTCTCCTTCTCCAGAGTTCCCTTATATGAACGAATCTTGTGCCAAGCATGATATTCACAGCCAAGCATTATGAACTATAATGCACATACAAGTCCACAAAGTCGAAACCTCAATCCGAAAGTCAAAGTTTTTACCTAACTTCCCGTTATAACTTATAACATATTACCTTCATGTTGTCTAAACATTTTTTAAAATTTCAATAGTTCAATCTACTAATGATAATCAATTAAATATAAACTAAAATTACGTGAATTGTCAAAGGATTGCAATTTATCTTTCATTACTCATTATTCCATCATCATGTTTACAATTCATTTTGATATCGATTTGATCAGAAAACAATGTTTGGTGTCTATCCAGACTGTCGATGGCATTATCATGATAATTATCACAGTTGAAATGTCATTATGATTATTAATTGAAAAACAAAAGAAGTTTCAATCAGCAAGTTGATGAGCAAATAAAGTATTAAATTCAATGTTTTTCCGTCCACGTTACATGGACCAATATTGTCGGGCAAAATTACTGTACCAAGGTTTATCTCATTCATTAAAGGTTTAGAGGAAACTTGTGATGTTCACATTGTCAAATCTATTGTTTTATTGTTATTTACAATCAATTTTTCATTGAATAAAACTCCCTTTTGCAAACAGTGATAACTTAATTTGTCGATAGTAGCAACTATTTGATAATATAAGATAAAATTTGGCACAATGTTAACTAATTGAAGTATATAAAGAGGAACGAAAATTGTTATTGATATTATTTTTATTGAAATAGAGACTCAAGTGACCAGAATAATGTTTTCCCTTATTGCTTTATCATTACTCTTTACAGTTGCATCTTCAACTCCTCTGGTTGAACAGTTGGGTTTGAAGTCTAACGATTCCTACAACATTCAAGCTGTCCTTGTTGCCGGATCCAATGGATGGTACAATTATCGTCACCAAGCTGATGTCTGTCATGCTTACCAAGTCCTCCGAAGCCATGGCGTTCCTGCTGAAAACATCATCGTTATGATGTATGATGATATTGCCAATGCCTCTGAAAATCCCCATCCAGGTAAAATCTTCAACATCCCCAAAGGTCCTGATGTCTATGCTGGTGTATCAAAGGATTACACTGGTGATGAAGTCAACGCCGAAAACTTCTTAAAGGTCATCAAGGGTGACAAAGGTCTTGCAGCTAAGGGTAAAAAGGTACTCACTTCTGGACCAAATGATCACGTCTTCATCTATTTCGCTGACCATGGAGCTACAGGTTTAATCGCCTTCCCTGAAGACACTCTTTCATCAGACGATTTGAACAAAGCCTTGGTGTACATGCACGATAACAAGTTGTATGGTAAACTCACTTTCTATGTTGAAGCCTGTGAATCTGGATCAATGTTTGAAAATATTTTACCCAAAGACATCAACATCTATGCTACAACTGCTGCCAACTCTGAAGAGTCAAGTTGGGGTTGTTATTGTGATGAAAAAGACATTGATACTTGCCTTGGTGATGAATATTCTGTTGCATGGCTCCAAGACTCGGACAAGCATGATTTAACCAAAGAAACACTTGAACAACAATTCAAAGATGTTGTTAAAAACACTCCAAGATCACATCCACAAGAATTTGGAACCAAATCTATCGCTGATTTAGTTGTCGGTGAATTCCAAGGAGAAAAGGCTTCATCAAGCAATCAGCTTTACAGAAAAGTTCCAGCTCGAGGTTCAGTAAACAGCCGAGATATTCCTTTGGTCATGTTACGAAGAAAAATGATCAAGACAAATGATGAAAATGAAGCTGCTTCCCTTCATAAGCAACTATCAAATTTGATTGCTGGTCGACATTTCCTTGAATCAGGAATGAACAAAATTGTTGCTCAACTTTGTTCTGCTGGTTTCTGTTCAAGTGTTGAAGAAGTCATGACAACTCGACGACCATTGGTTAATCACTCAGCTCACTCCACAGTTGTCAAAAAATTCAACTCCAGTTGCCTTAATGTTGCCGTCCACAATTATGCAATGAAATACATTTATGTACTGGCCAATCTGGTTGAGGCAAACAACTTTAACGAGACAAGTTTATCTCATTTCTTGAAAGCTTTAGAGCGAGCTTGTGAAACTCACATCGTCGACAATGGATTCAAAGCTATTGTTTAAATGCATTGTTATTAACAATCAATTTTTCTTTCAATAAAATTCCCTTTTGCAAACAATTATTGATATTTTGTTCATAAATTGTTGATAGTAGCAACTAGTTGATATCATTATAGCAAAATTAAGTCTAACTTCTAGTTTGGATAAAGGAAAGAGTAGCGGAAGTTATTATAAACCTTTTATGAATTGAAAGGTTAAGAAACGTATCGGTTGAAGCTGAAGTAAAATGTTACTTGGTGGGTGAAATGAAGTTAACAACACCAGTTTAGACCTCACTTGTTAAACTTGTGACTTAACTAGCTATGATATTATAATAATAACTATAATAAACTTAAAAAAGGGTTTATTTAAATGGCGCGCCTTTAAACTTTGAAACAAATGGCGGACTAATTGCCGGTTGAGATGAAGTGGTTACTCATAAAAATGGTTAGAACTTCAATCAGCCGTAATTTATCTTGCTTACTTAATGGTTAAAAATTCATAATTCATATTTTAATTTCCAAAAATTCAATTTTATTTGAACGCAGTCTTTAGATTGACTAGAGAATCATTAATTTCTTGTTTTCCTTTTTGCTTTCGCTCAATAAGCAACTGGTTACTTTCTTTTCCCGTCTAACAAAATAACCGGTTGCTAGTAACCACTGTATCTCTAGGGTTTCGTTGGTAAACACGTGAATTGGCAATGTTTATGTAGCATATCTTGCATGTGTTTAAAAGTAATTAAATTAATTTCTTATTGTTTGGTCATTTTTCAATCTTCTAAGTACATTTTTAACGATTGCCATGGTTGTCTTCGTTTGTGGGGACTGTAATGATGTGTTGAAAAAGAATGCCGTAGATACTCATCTTAATCGATGTAGCTGTTCTGTAATTTCTTGCTGTGACTGCGGTAAGAATTTTTCTGATGATGGTTATAAAGCTCATACTCAATGTATATCAGAAGATCGCAAATATGGTCCTCAGGACGAAAAAAATGTGAATATTCCGGATAAAGGACAAAAAAGACAACAAGATTGGCTTAATAAAATAAAGGAAGCTGTATCTAAAGTAAATTTGTCAGGACCAACCGAGATGGCTTTAAATAAACTTCTTGAATATCCAAACATTCCCCGCAAAAAATCTAAATTTATAAACTTTGCTTCTAGTTGTGTTGGTATTCGTAAACCCGAAGTAGTAGAACAAATATGGAATATTTTTGAAGAAGCTAACAAAGCGACTGATGAATCTAAACCCGATAAATCTAAACCTGATAAATCTAAACCTGATGAATCTAAACCTGACGAATCTAAACCTGAAGATTCTAATGACGAACTAAAAGAAACGAAGAAAGTGAAGAAAGACAAATCCAAAAGAAAGGCTGAAAAAAATACAAACGGTGATGACAGTTCTGTTAAATCTCGCAAGAAGAAAAAACACAAACGCGAAAATGAAGCAACAGAACAATCCTCTGAAAATCAACATGTGGAGTTCTGACAAACTAAAATAATTTAACAATCTATCCTTTAATCTTGGCTGGAATACTGCAATTCACAAATATTATTGTGTTTCTATTGTCGCATATTCTCAATGAACCTAACAATCATTGTTCGTATCCTTTGCTAAGAATCCTCGCCTTGAATATTAAATGGGTTCAATAGTTAAATTGTATCATTTGATTTCAATTCATTACGGTTTGTTTGTTTATTGTTAGATTATCTCTAATCATCTTGTGTTTCAATGGATCCATATGACTCAGGAAAATGCGTGCTTGTTTCCGGAGAGAGTTTATCTCAAATCCAATGCGATTCAAGTCAAAATTATCAATCAATTATATCATCTCAATCATCATCATCCTCATCCTACGCCTGTAATCACCAAGATGAACTATTGGCTATTGCATTGAATCTTAAAGCAGGTATTGATCATCTCCGGACCAATTTGGACATGTTAAAAAGTGAAGCGACTGCTGATAAATTTTTAGTTTTAATCGATCAATTTTCCAACCATATTGAACATGTTAGTGTGGCAATGGGCAAAGAGATTAAGCGTATTGTACATTTGAATGCTACGTTTAACAGATCAAGTTCTTTTGCTATTCCTCAGGTAATTACCAAAGGAGCTAAAAAGCTAAAATTATCACCATTAGTTGATTCCATACTAGATCCAACTGATAGCCTAGAAACATCCAAACTCTCATCAAATAATCCTGTTGATGAAGAAGCTGATGAAGATGAGAACGAAGATGATGATACTGAAATTTTCCCTTGAATCGATCAATTCATCATTTATTCTCATTCATGATAGCAATTCTTTCGTATTTCCTCCTCTAAAATCCGTATCTAATCCTTGACAATTAATTATTACATATGAAATCAAAAAGCAATAAAAATAGAGCAATAAAGCAATTCTTGCTTTGCAATAATTTTGAATTTTTTTCCCTTCCACTCATTGCTTAAACCAACCACATGTTTTTTAACTGAGCAAGTTACATCCATAAATGTTTCCGGTTTAAATATTATTATGTTATTAAGTTATCATGCTTTTGTGTTATTATGTTATCAAAATCAATTTTACGGTTAATTCATGTTCCAAAGGTTTGTAATTTATGTGTTATTTATCTTATCGAAAAATATACGATTTTCAAGAAAAAAACATGTGTACAACTGTAACACCAGTAGAATAGTTGTCTACAATACCATTTAAGACGAGGAATTACAATTAGATATTTAATCACTTGATGTTATAGTAAAATTCGTATAATCTCAGCGGTATTTAAGATTCACTCAATTAATCTGTAGCGATACTTGTGATATTTTATCTCATAAAATTTCTCTCTATTTTAACCTTCTAAATTGATGTGAGTTACAATGAAGAGTAGAGTAACCCATAACTTGCTAGGATTCCGAGTGTCTTGACCCATCTCGAGGTTCGATCACAAAACAATGACGGGTTAAAATCCATATAATGCCTACCAATTGATCGAAGAAACAAATTCTATCAAGTTATGGTACACAGGTTTACCGTCCAATTATGAGCACATAGCAACTCTGTGTTTACGAGCAGCATAACCAAAAGAGTAACAGAGAGCCGACTTGAAAACCAAAGATCTTATGGTTTATTACTTTCCTGATTAGACAGATGGCTCTGATGAAAATTCTTCATCTCTACTGTATTCTGAAATTCTAATCAAAGACTTACTCTTTGGTCTTACTCAACTTTACTCTCTTACTCACTTTTGATTTATTGTTTTCTCTGTTCTTGTTTTTTTCTTTGTTTAACCTATTCCTCGGTGTGAACCTATTTCATTGGAAATATTGTCAATAACATTTTCAACTAATTTTTCTGTTAAAGGTAATTTGGAATAAATTGGTATTCATCCTTCATTTCCATTGTTACTGTTTTTTACTAATTGCTTTACCTTCATTTCTTTTCTTTTGCATTGTCCGATGCTCAGAGACAACTTATTTTGGGCCTTAATCCGGTGACAAGATCATTATCATCTACTAATAAAATGGTTTTCAACTATCCCAAAGCACGTCGAGATGAATCAGTCATAGAAACTCTTCATGGAATTCAGGTAAGGCTGAAACGAGTAATTTATTCACATTAGTTCTAACCTAATGGTTGCTTGATACTTTTAATTTTTGCTTAGTCTATAATTATGCAAATTATCATCAATTTGAAACTATTCAAAATTTTTGGATTTATTGCGAAAAGGCCAAAATTGATATTTTTGAACTAGGAGAACAGGGTCAATGGTATTTCTTTATCTTAGCTAGTCTGATTATTTTAACTTAAATTTTGGATCTTTGTTTTTGCTGACTGTTTTTGTTAATGGTCTCATTTTCATTTTCATTTTCATTCTCCTTTTTTCTTTTTTTGTAAACTTTTTTTTAAATTATTGCTTTTTTTTGTTTTCACAGGTTAAAGATCCTTACCGCTGGCTAGAAGATCCCGAATCAGAAGAAACCAAAAACTTTGTCCATGAGCAAAATAAGATATTTCAAGCTTATATTGCAAAATGCGATGTGAAAGATAAAATCAATGAAAGGTGAAACATTTTAACTTATTAGTCCATTTTAATTATAATTTTAACAACTTTTTTTCTATATTTCAGACTCAAAGATTTAATGGACTACCCAAAATATTCATGTCCTTTTAAACGTGGCTCACGGTACTTTTTCCGAAAAAATGACGGTTTACAAAATCAGAGTGTCCTTTACATTCAAGATTCTTTGGACTCTGAGCCTAAAGTCTTTTTTGACCCAAATACGTTAGACAAAGATGGCTTGGTTTCATTGAGTTTTACTAATTTCTCTCTTGATGGGGAATGGCTTTCTTACGGTCTTGCTGATGCTGGTTCAGATTGGAGACGCATTAAGATTCGGAAAGTAGACACTGGAGCCGATGCCGATGAAACAGTATACTTTTGCAAGTACTCTCAAACTTCTTGGACTCATGATAACAAAGGCTTCTTCTACTCGGTAATTTCTCACGATTTGTATGATATTCTTGCTAAACTAAACGAAACTATTTTTCTAGCGCTACCCAAAATTGGCTGATACTTTCGATGGCTCAGAAAATGTTAAATGTGTCGATCATAAAATGTACTACCACAAAGTTGGCACACCCCAAGAAAATGACGTTCTTGTTGTTGAATTTCCTGAATACCCCGAATGGGTCATGTATGTGAATTTTTAATTTCGTGATTTCAATTGTGAAATTAATCTTTGTTTTGTTTTATTAGCAATGGGTTGGTCAGTGACTGTGGAAAATATCTTTTTGTCTTCGTTGCAGAAACATGTCAAAATACTGCTCTTTATTATGCACACTTAGATAACGATATCAAAGGAAAACTCGAGCTTAAACCTATTGTTACCAAATTTGAAGCTGAATATGATTTTATTGCAAATGATGGGACTACTGTTTATTTCAAAACTAACCGTAATGCCCCCAATTACAAAATTATCAAGTTGGATCTAAATGACCCCGATGAAAAAAACTGGATTGAAATAATTCCTGAACATGAAAAGAATGTTTTAAATTCAGCAATTTGTGTAGATAATGACAAACTCATAACTATCTACACCGAAGATGTAATTGATGCTATACAATTTCGCACCCTCAAAGATGGAAATATAATCTTCAAGCCTAAGATTCCTGTTGGCTCAATCGGCACAGTTACTGGTAAAAGATATCAGAGTCAAGTTTTCTTCGATCTCTCAAATTTTCTCACTCCTGGTATGATCTTCAAATATGATTTTAATGGAGATTCGGATATTTCTGTAAGAATAGTTTTTTATTCATTCAGTTTTTTCCAAAAAATTCAAACATTACTAATAGTTTTCTACTCTTTTCATAGGTGTTCCGAGAAACACTTTGTAAGGGTTTCGACATGTCAAAATTTGAAGTGAAACAAATTTTTTATTCATCTAAAGATGGTACTAAAGTTCCTATGTTCATAGTGCATAGTAAAGTGAGTTTTATGTTGCTCATGATATCTACTTATGAGTAAACTTGAAGTTTTAAAAAAATTACAAAAACTTGACACAAATTTTATTCTTTTTAATTGTACCAGGACTTTGAAGCAAATGGTGAAAGCCCATGTCTCTTATATGGTTATGGAGGATTCAATATAACTCTATCGCCATTCTTCTCCCCAGTCCGCTTACTATGGGTTCAAAACTTTAGAGGTGTGTTTGCAGTCGCTAATCTTCGTGGTGGAGGGTAAGTTTTTTGCTCTCGTCATTAGTTTATTCACTTCATTTACAAAAATTTTTCTTAACTTTAGAGAGTATGGTGAAAAATGGCATGAAGCTGGTGTTCGAGATAAAAAACAAAATGTTTTTGACGATTTCATTGCTGCTGCAGAGTATCTCATTGATAATAAATACACCAATAAGAAAAAGTAATTAAAAGCTTAAAATATCATCGCACTAGATTTGATCGCTAAACATAATTTATTTTTCACTCTAGGATTGTAATTGAAGGTGGATCAAACGGAGGTTTATTGGTCGCTGCCTGTTCAAACCAACGACCTGATCTTTTCGGTGCCACAATCTGTCAAGTGGGGTAAGAGTAATCATGGATTTTAGCGCCAAATAGTTTAAATTAATTTCTTGGTGTACTCTATTTAGTGTTCTTGATAGTCTGAGGTTCCATAAGTTTGGAATTGGAAAATTGTGGACTAGTGATTATGGGCATCCAGAGAATGAAAATGATTTCAAAGCTCTAATCAAGTAAGTTTTGTCAATTTATTTAGATTCATATTCAGATATTTTCTGTTTTTAATCTTTGTTTCTATTCCATATTCTAGGTACTCTCCTCTGCATAATATACCTGCTGCAAGTGATGTTTACCCTAAAATTTTGCTCTTGACTGGAGATCATGATGATCGTGTCGCTCCACTCCATACTTTAAAATTTGTTGCTGAATTGCAACATTCTCTAAATGTAAAAGAGATTCCTCTTTTAACTCGGGTTGAAGTCAATGCTGGGCACGGAGCTTCCACCCCAGTCAGCAAACAGGTAATCATCAACATTAATTTGATTAAAATTTCTTAACTATAGATAATCATACTAATCATAATACTTTCTCTCTTTTCCTTTTCTTCATCTTTTCCTGTCATTTCACACTCATCTTTTTTTCTTTCTCTTAATCCCATTCAATTATTTCATTTTATTTATTGTCCTCATTGAAAATCTCAGATTGCGGTACGAACGGATATTTATTGCTTTCTCAAGATAGCACTTGATTTACCATACTATGAATAACTTTTGTTCCCTTCATAATGCATATTTTTTCTCTATAATTTCCATTTCACTTTATATGTTTAAATGAACATTTGATATTCTTTTGAGTTAAAATTTTCATAATATCAAGCATAAAAAGACATTTTTATTGTTCCTCACCGTATTATTTATAAACTATGGGGATGTAATTGACGTTTTTAATTTTCATTTTAAATATGAATTTAATTAAAGGTTTAGAGTTATTTTATAGAGGGAAACACTTTCAAATATCTTGAAGAAAAACATCGTTTAATCGAACAATTAAATTAGTTGAATTCATAGTTTTCATAATTTATTTTAAGCTGACACCTTTAGCCAGGCGTTAAAACAGTGATACAATGTAAAACCAAAATAATCAAAGGTAAGGTAAATTAAGAAATAATATGATTCAGATATTTAACATAACAATGTGATATTAGTGACTGAATCAATCGGAGAAAAATTTATCCTGCAGGAGTTTTAAGAGATAAGAAATGGTCAAAAAGTATTAACTATTGAAATATTAAAAGAATGAACATTTAATTAGTTTTTTCCTTTTATCCAAAGGATCAAATTTGACCGTATGCTACAAGTTGAATCATTTCATGTCAAACTCATTTGGTTCACTGTCATTTCGCCATTGAAGCTTTTAAGCTAAATCTTTTAATCATCCTTGAAATCTCTCTGATTTTGCTATAAACGGCAAAATGTAAATTGGTCATACTATTTTATTTAATTGTATCACATCGTAATTGTATTACAATCCGAAATCTCAGATTAGTCGCTTTTTTCCTGGGGAACTTTTGAAAATTGTCTTTACTCTGGATTTCATGGATACTTATGACTACCCTCAATGTTTAATACTAATTTAGTATTTAAGAGTAAAGAAACGGACAAACTAATATGTCGAGAGGTTTAACAAAAAATAATGGCATTTATTAATACATTTTGATTTTAACAAGTATTGAACATGAGCATCACAAGAGTAAAATGAATGTTGATGAAGATGATGATGAAGTCGGTGAAAAAACAACAAATGTTGTAACAAAGGTTAATTCCAATGAAATTGTTGGAAAAGTGTGTTTTTGTGTTTTTTGTAAATTTTTTTAAAAAAATAAAAAAAAGTGCAACAACATTATACAATAATGAGGATGATGAAAGTGAAGATGAAGATGGCGATAAACAGTAAAAAAATAAAATGACGAGCCAGTAAACAATTAAAATTTATGCATAACAATCATCAAAGGATTGTTAAAATTTGATGTCAATTTTTACCGTGAAGATGATGATGATGGCTTGATTGTTGTTGTTGTTGATGTTGTCAATGATGATTCTGTTGCTTTATTTTGACTTGATGTTGACCATGATGAGGTTGATTCTGATGATGATTCAGTGACTGAAGCAGGTGTTAAAGTAACAACAGCAGCAACCTTTTTGATTGTTGTTGATGATGATGATGGTGATGATAATGGTGAATTTGTTGTTGTTATTGTGCTTGTTGATGGCCTGATTAGTTCATCTTCATTGATATTATAGCTTTCTTCAATTAAAGACGGATGATTACTATAATCATTGCTATATTTACTTGACAAACTATTTCTATTATAAAGATGGTGATTATTGTTGTTATTAACATTACTATTAACATTACTATTAACATTATTATTATTATTACTATTGCTGTTGCTGTTAAAATTATTAAAATCCTTATTAATGGCACTATTTCTGCTCTGAGATTGTTTCCTCAATGATTCAGAGACTCGATCATGGATTGTGAATTTGATTAATCGAGTATCGGGCGTATAAAAGGCTGATCGGTAAGCACCCGGTGTCCAGTGTTTAGTATCCTTGGGAATCCAACCATTGTGCTTTGGTGACAAAGGTACATGTTCATTGACTGTGAATGGACTTGATGCAAAGGAATTGTCGCGTATTGAAGTTGCTTGAAGATAATCCGAGTTCTGGTATCCTCCGTGATGGTAACCCTTAGGTTCGGTTGTGTCTCGATAATAATAAGTCCTAGGTGATTCCTCAATCATCTCTGAACTGGATTCCGCCATTTGGATGGGTTCATTAAAATTGTTGAGGTTATTGTGATTGCCGTTAAGTCCATTGTTAATGTTGTACGTTAATCCATTTGAGGGCATCTGATTGTCACTTTGTTCAATCAATATCTCTTCTGAGTTTGAATCCGTACTCTCTGGGTTACTAATAATGGTGAAAAAAATATAATGATATTAGTTATAATGAGCATGATTATAAACAAGAATGGATGAGTGAAACAAGATTGATAGAGAGAGAAAGAGAGAGAAAGAAAGGTGATAGGATTAAATGGTCATCTTGATTCAGGTCAAAAGCATTTTCATGATTAACTGATGATGATGTTTCTCAATGATTTTCAGCTTCAAGTTGAGAAAAATTTTCCTTTCTGGATAAGTTTAACACAAAATTTCAAACCCTCAACTCATCAAACCCTAAAATGATTAAAGAAACACAAACAAGAAAAGATTAACAAATTGTTTACCACGCTGTACTATTAAAAAGTTATTAACTGTCCTTTTTTTATCAATTTACATGCCGTTTGGGCAATTGCCGTTTTTTTCATGAAAAAAATAACAAATATTCGTGTTGAGGGTGAAATCATGAAAACTTTCAACAATCAACTCTAAATGTATCAAAATTATCATTTGATGAGCATAAATAAGGTCTAAATGTGAATACAGATTTGAATGGAGAAAAAATTAAACCCAAGATTCGTGAATAAACAAAACAAAATTCAAGACAATTGGAAAAATTAACATTTCAATTGAATTCATCTTTGAATATCTAAACGCCATCTTTACCTGCAAACATACCTTTTATGCAAACATACAACAATTAAACACTTATTAAAGTATCACATGAAATAATAACGATCAGATTATTATCATCTAATGTCGATAGCATATTATTATCGCTTATTATATGTCACCTTACACTTGGGGCAACATTTGATTACTATGTTGCCTGATCTAGCTTGTTAATAGCACATTGTCACACCCGTTTTTGGCCTGACATTGGCCGTCAATAGCCCAAGGTGATAAATAATACATACAAGCATTAAATACAAAAAAGAGAAGCAAAATTGAATTTGTTATTCTTAAAGAAGGCTTGATGGTTAATGAACATTGATTTAGATGCGTAATCAAGTGTTAGAGCAACGTTAAAATTGGCCTCATTTGGTTTCACAAATTCTTTGCACTCATTTTTCATCATCAATTTCTTATTTTTTTTCTTCTTCTTCTTCCATCTTCTGTAATTACCCACAAGATCATCTGATTAGAGGACAGACTTATCTGTATCAAGATGGTTACAGTTAAGTTCTGGTCATCATGAAGATCATCTCATCATGATCAACATCAATATGGATCATTGGAATGAAAAAGGACAGATTACTTGTTTTGGTAAAGATTAAATGTGATCTAGTTTAGTTATACAACATGGTAACACACATTGATGAAAATTTAAAATTGGATTAACATTTGTAAGATCAATGATCAAGTATTATAACAAGTTGGTTAAACCATTAGTACTTAATCTTTTCCAACAATCAACCATTATATCATTATTACATGGTATTCAGTTTATGAAGAGATCGCCTACGCAAAATTGATTGATTATTTTATTGATTCATTTTGGTTGCTAATTTTTACTCAACTAATTGAAACCCAAAACAAGTAACTAATAAACGTCAATTTATGATAAAAAGTTGCTAATTTGGGTTTTGTTTGTAACTTGTTTTGTTAGCATTGAATTTTTGCTCATCCAGTTTAATGATTCCTAGGCTGATTGATTGTTGAGTATAAAATGAAAATGTATTTTGAATCCTAAAGGGTTGCAAAAAACTAGAAGCTTTTTTTATTCTTAACTACATTAATCATCCAATTTTCGTCTTAATTTTTATTCCCTATTGTAGTATTTTAAAGGTGGCTACTTACAAATAATGGAAGATAAATTTGCCTGATTTGTTAACAATGAACAATAAAAAAACACCTTAAAAGAAACAATTTCCGTAAAACAATTTGTTTCAGCTTTGTAAAAGATTCACTTATTGGGCTACTTTTTGGTTGTATTTTGCTACTTATTTTGGTTAATTTACCAATTTGTTGATTATTCATGTCTTATTAATAGACTTGTTTTTTACTAAATTGCTTTTAAGGCTATAAATAATGTTTCACAAACAAACTATCCACCTAAACAATTATCCGGGTAAAATGTTGATAAACTTACGTGTTGATGACAATATTTTCATTTGGGAAAGTTGATTCAGCAAAAGGAGAGGAACCATCGAGATCAATGGAGCTGGGAACTTCAATGAAGGTATATTTATCATTAAAATTTGATGCTGGTGAAGAGGGTGAAGTAGATGATGAGGGTGAAGAGGAAGGTGAGTTTGAAACTGAAGATGAAGGTGATGAAGGTGGAGATGGATATCGTGGTCGTGATGTTAAACTTTTACCAAAACTGTTTGGTGTTTTAGCTGATTTTGAGTTTAATAGTCGCCATATTAAATGTCCAGGTTTATTTGAAAACTCTTCTGGTGCAGTCAAAACAATTGAAGGTTTAATTTTTGGACCAGAAGGTCCGTCTTTTGTTAACAAGAAAGCTTTAAGACCAGGCATAGATTGAATCCTATCCTTGACTGCTCGTAAAATCTTAGGAATTTGAGAGATGTCTTTCAGTTCGGTGATTGCTACTTCAGCTTTTCCTCGATGTCCAAGTTGACGATTATGCCGATGAGGAGGAGGTGGTGGTGGATGTGGTGGAGGATGAGAATGAGGTCGTCCGCCGGGATGAACTCTAATTTCATGAGGTGATGTTTCTAAAACATCAAGAAATCCAGGTTCAGCTCGAGGTCCTCGGTAAAGAGGACGCCTCTCATGGAAAGGTGATGAAGAGGGACCAGAGAGTTGGTGGTAAGATGAAGGCACTTGATGATGGTTGCGGCGAGCGATTGCAGTGGGATGACCATTATCTAGTCCGGTTGTTGATAGATGAGAAGATTGATCACGAGAATATTGGCGGTTCAATGAGGATGATGTGATATTGGATGATTGATGGGACTCCACACTTAACAAGCTTCCCGTTGAAAGTAAAAGTACCAACGGTATTAACATTATTTGAGCCTAATAAGGCGAAATATAAAAAAATATAATTAGAGGTTTGAAATACACGAATCACTCTTAAGAAAGATTAGTTAACAGCAATGAGCAAAGAGTGAAGAGTAAACAAGAAGAGACCGCGATAAATATAAATCCAATTTGATGCCGAATAACGGCACAGGTGGTGCTAGTAGTAAGATATTCTTTCTTTTCCCTTTTTGGCAACAATTTTTCTCTTAATTTTCCTCTTACTTTTCTCTTTCTTTATAAAATTTAAATTCAAGTTTCAAAGAGAAAAGTAAGAGAAAAATTAAGAGAAAAATTATTACAAAAAAGAGAAAGAAAGAGCTTCTTACTACTAGCACCACCTGTGCCGTTATCCAACAACAAATTCGGATTTATATTTATCGAAGCTCTTCTGTTTACCCTTTGGCCAAAACAATAATTAGCCATTAGCCGCCCATTACCATATGAAAACAATGTTTTATTTTTATTGGAAGATTGACCCCATTGAGGCCTACTGCCTTCTTAATCATTAATTGATCTTGCAATTAGCACAAAATTAAAGAATGTCATAGTTTGTTAACCATAAATCTGTTACATTTTAACATTTTTAACTTGCTCGGCTCATTTCAAACCACTTAGCTAAATTGATTTAGACAATAACATGTTATTAAATGGCTAAATTTGATTAAAAATGTTCATAACTTACATTCATCTCAATATAACCTTTTCCTAGTTCTTCCCCTTTGCTCATATGTTTCATCCCCTTATCGTGAGAAGCCTATGCTGTTTACTCTATCCATTGTCAGTTGAGAGCATTTTTCGTTTCAGACATTCAGCTTGGAATTTTCATGTAATTTTACTTTTCTTGTTCCTTTACAAAGTTGATAACAATTTCAATTAATACTCTGTATTTTGTATGAAAATTTAAATGTGAAACCCTTTTCCTTCTCAAAATGAAAGCTCAATACGAAAAGTAAGTCAAGCTCTTTGACCCAGTAACTGTTTTTTCATTGTTTTTTATATTTCTGTGAACAAATAAAATGAATTCATGCAAAGTTAACTGCCCATTTAGTGGTTGGTGCTACAAGTAATCACATTAAATCCATCTAATCTTCAAAGGAATCTGTAAATTTAGCTCAGGTAAAATATAATTTGCAACAAATCTCGATCTCTTCATCAGAAGTACCAATTTTCCCACCTCTAACATGAATCTCTTGCAAGACATTTCTTTTGTAAAAACCTAATTCTTTCTCATCTTTTCTTTGCATTCAATTTCATTTCTTTTCGTGGTGATTATATCATATTTAATTGTGTAATTGTGGTTATCAATCTACAAATGGTCATCATAATCCATCACGACATCATATTTGGATGCAATATGCATTTAATCTCGTTAATGCTGCCTTTTGCCATATTGCAATAAAGTCTTGATATTTGTATAAAATGACGTTTTTTAAAGCAAATCCTTCGAAGCCAATGGATTCCAAGTGTGAACTATGATCAAATTAAATCATGAATTTTCTATCGATTAATGCAAGTGAAAGGAAAAGCCGATTCATATAAAAATGAGGTCAAACCCAGTCTCTTTTTCATCGAGCAACAAGCATAAATTTGATGGTAAGTTTACTTTCTCCTATTTCTCTCTGTCTTCTTCCCTTTCACTCATCACTTCCAGTTCAACTGAATGTTATACTTTATCGTGAACCCATAAACCCAGAATCCATAAAACGTTTATGAAACCAAGTTTCCGCGAAGAGTTACTCCCTCTATTTACCCTCTCAACTCTTTCTTTTTTCACCTTATTCTGGTTTTGACCTAGTTTTTCAACTCTGCTGCCTTACTGAACATATGATCAGTCAATTAGCTTGACGATCTGTGTTTACCAAGTCAATATAAGAACTTGCATTTACCTTTTATCAGATGTATTTTTACCATTTCAAATCAATTTGCTCATTTAATGCAATATTATTTCATATTTTGTTTATCTCTTTATCCATTTTTAACAGATTTGTAAAGATGAAAATCGATTTTTGCTTATTGAGAGTAAATTTGTTACTAATAATGTTATCCTGTTGAGCCGGTTATACCAACCATTTGTCGTTAATTGCTGATGGTTGCTGTTACATTTGTTAAATTGTTTATCCTTATTCCATTAATTCTGTAAACAATATTAAGTATTATATACAAATTTCCACAATGGTGAGTTGGATTGAAGTTGAAATAACAGTAAAATAACAATTGTTATCCATTGCAATTGAAAGTTATGTTGTATGATATTTTTAGAGAGACCTTTTGTATTCATGAGAGATTGTTGTTTGAAAAACTTTTATGATATTGGAGACTGAATTTCCTTTGCAATTCACTGAAAATTAGTGTGAACAATTGAATATTTTGCTGCACGGTAAAAGAATGTCGACTAATTTTTTCTTTTCTTCTCATTGATTTAGCATTCAAATGAAAAGCCATACAAAGTATGGAGTTGTGATCGAGAATTACGTAAAGCTGTGATTGCAAGCTCCTTGGAGGAATTAAAGTCCATTGGAGCTTCTAAATTAGGTTACTCATATGATGATCCCAATCAACTGAAGATTGTCCTTGAATCAGATGGAACTGAAATTGAGGATAATCAATATTTTAAATTGGCTGATCAAGAAACTATTTTTCTGCTTCTCCGTCAAAATGAAAAATGGATTCCAGCAGGAGTTGAGGCTCTTAAATCAGGTATACATTGAAAGCATGTTTACTTTTTGAGTATATCAGTCTAATTGCTAATCGTTATTTTATCATTTATTTATTTTTCAGCCATTTCTGCCTTCCCGGGAAATGTAACTGTGGTTCTTCAATTAGATAATCGTGATCCAGGCATCTTACTTAAAAAAGGTGAACCTCCATGGAAATTGGAAGTAGTTTCTGTATCTGATTCAAGGGCGAATAAATTCGATAATCAAGCTCAAACCCCAGGTCAACAACAAACTACTACTAGCCATGGACCATTATCATCTCTTGTTTTATCATCATCACCGTCTACTGGAACCGAAACAGGTATATCAATTATACCTCGCTCAACTCTAATGGTTCAACCTGTTCAAAATGGTTTTAACTCATCATCATTATCATCATCATCTCGTCGTGCCAATTTGACACTTGATGGCCTTAAGTTACGATCAACAGCAAATGGTCAAACAACTACTCATCGGGTGAAAACAACGACAAATACAACACTGCCAAGCAAAAAATTGATTCCAGGATTAGAGGATGAAGTTGAAGAGGGTGAAGAGGATGAAGATGATGAGGATGATATTAATGTTGGTGAGGGTCTTGGAAAGGAGAATGAGGAAGACGTTTCCGAAGAAAGTGATCAAGGTGATGTGACTATTGTCCAGGGTGAAGTAAGTCCAAATCATGATCACTCTCAATGTGATTTTCATTGTGCCGCTTTACATCGAGGTGGAGGGGAAATAAGGGTAAATGTTTTACTTTTCATGGTTCATCTTTAACCATTGTTCTTGAATTGCTTTCTAATTGCCTTTCTTTTTGTCTATAAATAGGTTAGTCGTTCAGTGGCAACATCACCGATTACTGAAAGTCCTACTCCAAGTGGCTTATTACTATCTCCAGTCTCAATTAATGTTCCAATCATTTCTGGATCTCATTCAATTTCATCTAATAAACCTCGACAGGCTCTTAAAGGTCATGTTCGCTTTATGGACACAGAGCACACTAATGGAGTGGTTGACCACAAAGAAGCAAATAAATTACAAACCAACACTGCCACAACTTTGAATTCATCTGTTAACAATATATTTCAAGGAAATACAACTTCCCAAGTAAATGGAAATGGATCTGATTCCGAGACTGAAACAACCGAACGAGATGATGAACAATTTTCAGAACGTTACCTATTATTGGTTGATCAATTATCTCTTAATCAAGATCGTCACCTCAATTTAAAAGACATTGGTATCATCTTGGAACGCCTTAGCTCTAAAATAATTGATGTTGACAAATTGGAGAGGGAAAAAGAGGGTTCTGATTGTTACAATTGGATAATCAAGGCAACAATAAGAGGTGAAGTACTTCGAGAGATCGGTGTAATTTACAATGGACAATACTATGGAATCATGGAGCATCCTGGCTATTTTTAGTAACATGGATCAGACAAAAATAAGACAGAAAAAGCTATCAATTTAATTTCACTTTTCTCAATTTCAAAATTACACATAGCAAAAGCATAGAAGAGACAGAAGCTCATTTTTGTAAAACCCACACAGAAAACACACTCTAAAGATGATTATTTAGATTTAGTGGTTATTAATGTTTGAAATTTAAATGCGAAGACATTTTATTGAATGTTTTCATTGGTTATAATTAATAAATAATTTCATTGTTTATCAAGAATCACATGTTGAAGGTGCACAGAAATAAAATTTATCGAGATATTTGAAAGTAATTCAACTTGAATTGGACTAACATTACCAGAAACATAATGGTTATGTCTAAATAAATCAATTTGAAAATCAAAAATGATTGACCTTTCAATCATTACAGCCATTAAAATGTTGACAATTAATGAAAGACACAAAAAAAACATTTTCAGCTGTTGCAATTGAAGAGTTTCATGGTTGTATGAAGAGGGAATAAAAAAGAGATGAAATAATTGGATAAGCCATTTGATAATGATGATTAAGATGATGATGATAATGTTACTGTTTATCCACTTTTAGCACGAAGTAAATTATACAATGAAAAGGGAAACTCGAAGACGATGTTGATGATAAGTTTGAGCGTTGCGAAAAGGCGAAAACAAGATAAATCATTGCTAAAGGCAGTTGATTTAGTTTGTTGATAAATAAAAGGAGAGGTCAACTAATTACTGTTCAATCCAAAATATACAAACTAAATATATTTTGTTTCAACTGCTTACGGCTAAATCAACAATAATTTCAATTGAAACTTGATTTGATCCAAAATATTACATTAAACTGATCGATATAACTTTTTATTTTACTAGTTTACATCCATAAAGGTAAAGTAAAGGATGATTGTTCATTACAAGCATCATCTTTAATCAATTGTAAAACACAAACATTTTAAATTAACACAAAATGTTGATTTTAAATTCAAAACAATTTCAATTGACAATCAATTGGCAACAAACCTCCAAATGGTTCATCTTTTTTTCATTGATATTCACTGTGTTTAAAGGAGCTTTTAGTTTCTGTTTTGTTACCTAAATGATTGATCATCATTTAAATTAACAATTCAAAATGAATTTACAAATTACAATTTAAAGGCGAACACATTTCAAGATTAAATTAACATTGAGTACAAAAAGATGGAAACATGAACAACAGTTAATTGTAAAGCAACCAATAGATGATTTCAATTCTCTATTCTTGCTATTGATAGTTACATGTTTACAATTAACATTATTAGAGTTATTTAGAGTTATAATGAAAGATTAATTAATTCATAATTTTTCCTCTAATGTTATGAATTATTTAACTTAATCAGGATAAAGATATTTCAATTTTTGGTGAACAGCAGAAAACACAAAACAGTTTTGAACCTCATCTTCATTTTGATCTCTGCATGAAATCAAGATGATTAATTGATTGCAATGATAATAAAGTCAACTGTAAGCACAATTGTGGACAATATTTTAATATCAATTTTGCTTAATTGAACCTGAAATGAAGAGAAATGATTAAAGTTGAAACTCCTACTCAGGCCTTCATCAGAATAATTATTTTTGTCTTTTGAATCTCTAATTTCAACAGTTAATCATCATCTGTGAGTTGAAACAGGTTAAACTGTTGATGACATTTGAATTAAACTTTGATAAACTCTTTTAAATACTCATGATTATGAGACAATCTGTTAATCATGATGAATGAAAATGTTGATTAACTTTCCCCTAATGAAACCTAAAATGAAACGCTAAACGAGTCTCAATTTAAAAAACACTGGAATTTTCTTCTTATTCCTTTAAAATTAATATCCTAATGATGATCCATTCTCAGTTTACTGAATCTATTCTTGGTGACAACAAAGACTTTAAATGATAATCCAAGCAACAGTTAATCAGGAAAAGTTAATCTAAATTTAACCTGAAATTTAAGATGAAAGAATCAAATGTTGATCCTTATTTTCCCATTGTTACCTCAATAGACTGCCATTTAACTTTCGTTTCATATTTCTCTTAATTAAATCTCAACAATTGATCACGGATTCAATTACAATTTGACAAAGGATTGACTGATTAAACCTTTTCTGACTATTACTCAAAATGAATCTCATGAGATTGCCGATCAGTGAATTATTGTTCCCAATATTTAATTGTTGAGTTGCCTCTTAAACTAAATTTGAATTGTCGCCGTTTTGGGTCAGTTTCAATGATAAACAGCTTTAATTACAATCTTTTTAAGTGTTTATTTGAAAATTTATTTCGCTTTTTTGTCTTTTTTTCTGGTGATTGATTAATTGTGGGATAATCATGTTTCCAATGGGAAATTGAAACATAACTTTAATTTGATTGTTCACTGAGAAACTGTTTAGCAGATTAAACGACTCAAAGCTCGTTGTGTCTGAAAAATGAATAATTGTTGAGAATCTGTTTAATCGCTCTGGACAGTTGCCCAGTTAAACAGGGAAACACTTTACAAGCTATTTTTGAATATTAACTGACCACACACAACATGATTGATCGGAGTAACTTTAAAGCATTAAAAAGATTGAAATCAATTCCCAAATTGTTACAAAAGGTTTACCCATAAAAACATATTGGAAAATGATTCTCATCATTAAACCATTTTCAACTTAAAACCCAATCAAATTGATTGAAAAGATTACGAAAACAAAACCAATAATTAACTTTGATTGTGATATTTATATTGACAATATTGATTCTGTTCATTACTTGATTAACTTAAAATCAGCCTTTTCATCAAGATTAACCCTTCAGCCATTTGGTCATTTATAATTATAATTGAAAAGCAAAACTTATTTACATTAATTATGATATAAATATATTTGTAAATTGATCATTTTACTGTTCAATCCATAATGGAAATGATAATAATAGTTGAAAGACACAAAACTCAATAATGATTAACAAATTGTTGTGACTATTCATAGGTTTAATGGTTAAACTGATTGTTACTTTATCATTAACGCCAAGCAACATTCAAGAAACCTTAAAGGCTTTTCAATTGAAATGTCAACGATCGATGACCTGAAATGATGCGGAATTGAATTGGATCCGTTGATGATCACAATTAAAGTTAGATAATAAGAGAAAGTGAATTGATGGTAATAACTTTAATTATTAATCAACATCAGAAAAGGAATCGAAATATTTTAAGAAACTTTCATTTCTCTATTTAAAAATTGTAAATCAAATTTGTTTCAATTGTTGGTTAAACTTGCAAATTGGTTGATTAAATAATCTTTACCATTCAAATCAATATTTTAATTCAATCTTTTATTGTAATAATTGAATGATTATCTTGGAAAAAGTTCATCAAACTCAAGTTTTAATCGTGAGAAATAGTAAAATTAACTGTTAAATTGGTGTTACATGTTTTTGTTTAACATTAAAATTACAAGATTTGATGGTTATGATTATAATCACGAATTAAAATTTAATTAAATGAATTATTTATCAACTGATAATGTAACAAATTTGTATGAAAAATCAGTGGATTTTCCGATTCACTGAGTGTATTCGCTTTAATCACGAAACAATCAAAGGCCAACTTGTCATCAAATTAGATAATTATAATTGTTCAATCAATTTCAATGTTAATACATTTATATTTAGCTAATTGTTGAGAAAGGTTAACCTAAAATGGTTTCGTTTTTCAATTCAGTTATGAATATTTTTGTTCATTTTTTAAGATTTTTGTTTTCTTCTCGTTTCCATTCATTTACAATTAACTTTATCAACAATTTAAATGACATTATTTTGATTTTACTTTTCAAAGTCAGTAAATTGATTCAACTTTTTCATCATTTTTCATTGTAAATCTGTTTTCATGGCGACATTAATCATTGAAGGTGGAAACCCTTTATTTTTAAGGTGAAATGTGTTCACTTGAATATGAAGAGTAATTAGTCTTTGGGTGTTTCGATTGTTGAAAGATAATTACATTTTCCAATTACTTTTGACAATTTGATTTGTATTTTAACACCTAACTCATTCATTTTGGCACATTTATAATTTGTTGATTGTTTATCAATTTACAATGATTACAATGATAAATTGGGCAAAATATTTTCCCTTCAATTTCATCTTCAACTTGAAAAGTAATTCAGTTTTCATTATCATTTAGTTGCAATTGAGTTTCGGGTTTTAACTTGTTATGGTTTAGTTGAAATTTAACTGAGATTTTTGGCTTTTCGTTGTCCTTTCAGAATGATAACTTGATTAATGATTTATGAATTTTCTCAATGAGAATCACATGAACCAGAAAAGGGTGAACATTTTGCAGAAAAAGTACATCAAAATAAGCATCTTTATGACAACATTTAATTGATTTTCTTCAAAATCAACTTATTGGCTCTGCTTTGGACTTGATTTAATTGGGCTAATCACACGTTTTGCAGTGTAAAATTAAATTAAAATAGGAAGCATAAAAAAAGATGAAAATCAAAACGAAAAGCCCTTTTTTTAAAGTTAATTAGGCTAGGCCTTGATTAAGTACAAAATTGTATCTTTTGCTTGTCACTAATTATCAGTCAAACCCAAATTCACATTGATTGTCTTGTTAATCATGTGTTGGGCTTATTAATTAACTTCATCAGGTTCAACTTGTTTTGCATTTTCTTGCATAAGAATTGAATTTGGTTAAATTTTGTCATAAAAAGGTTACCATGAAAATGGTTCATTTCAATATAATTTATGATCAAATGTGTTTTCTTACCATTAAATTGTCTTCTCTTACAATTAAATCACTTATATTAAAAGTATCTATTCTCACAAGAATTTAATTTTAATCAAATCCTTAAATTGTTGACTTTAAATCTTGAAAAACAAACTCATCAATATTTTTCAAAATGAGCGCTCAATCAACATAAAATACAAAACATTAGCCACAGAAAGATATTGATGAGTTTGCGGTAAAATCACATCTTGTTATTCAATTTTGTTATTATCTGTCTAAGCAATTAAAAGGCTTAAAGTAACAATTTACGTTAATCTGATATAAACGTTATTATACGTTAAAATATAATTTGATTTATTTAGATGTGGTTTTGTTTACTGAAAAGAGGAATCTTTGGAAGCGATTGTGGCTTTACTCTCACACATTTGATTGTTACATTTTTACCAACATGATGGTGAAATTAATTTGATTTGTTGAAATTATTATGCCTACACAGTCAATTGTAATTCAGTAATTAGCGATAAATCAATTTTCAATGTAAGTAAAACAACCAATAAATAATGGTGCAGTAAAAGTCTCACCCAGTAAAAAAGTGTTTTTATATTCGTGTATAAAGGTACTTTTTTGCCGATTGAAAGTTATATCTTACAAAATTAGTGCATCGTTTGATGGTTAACATAAAATAATTAACTTCTGTAACTATTTATAAAGTGTACAATCAATATATAAAATTGATATTTATTAATAAAAAACGATATAAGGTGATATCAACGGGAAAATGAGCAAAAAAAAGTCGGGAAGCAGATGAAGCAAAATGGACAAAAACAAGGTGTTGAGGAAAGTTGCTGCTGTTGTTTTTATTTATCGTTGATTGTTATAATTTACATGAAATTATTTATTCACTAACCACTATTAAAAGGCACTTTAATCAAATAACATCAGTTGTCCTTAATATTTAAACCATTAACAACAATTAATTTAGCTAAAGGTTGATCAGAAGATAAGTTACATTTTTGTTTACCTTTGAACACTTGTAAGCAGTGTAAGGTTTGAAGCGCCTATTTTAAAGTGTACATCTTTACAAATATACAAAAAAAAGGTTGATCTGAATTTAATGTAAAAATCAATACAATGATCAAGCTGATTATGTTGTTGATTATAATCTTGATCCTGGTTTAGAATAATTATTCAAATGAATCCATTACTGGTAAACTCCACACCTGAATTAAGATGAGGATCATCTTTATAATGACCAGTGAGGATCGCAATTAGTCGATTAGCATAACTTGCAAATCAATTGGGATCATATATTGGTTAAGGTGTGTTTAAATGTGAATGGATTGATTGATAAAAAAAAGGTTTTGAACTTGAAAAGGAACCTCTCGCAAGAAAAAACATTGATAATGAAAACTGGATTGACTTTTTAGCTGTTTATTTAGCTAACGTTCATTATCATCAGATTAACATTAAATCACGGATCTATTTCAAGTGTTACATCTTGAATTAAGATGATTTTTATTCAATATTCAACAATATTAATGGCCATCATCAACAGAATTGTTTAGAATGGCATTCCTTTGGATTTTCAATATTTCAATACAATAACATGTAAGGATATGCAAGAGGTTGCATCAAGAATTGATTATGTTTGATCAATGAAAATCAAACAAAGTGACAATTAACAGGCAATTAACCTTGATTAGAATGACTTTAGTTGAATCTATGAGAAGAAGAAGATTGAAAAAACAAAGAATCGAGAACAAATGATAAATAAATCAACTAATTATAACCACTTTGAATCAACCTTTATCTTTATCAAAAATCTTGGTTAAATTAAACCTCCATTAAACACTGATTCATTAGATGATCATCGTGTAATCAGGTGGGTTAAATTGTGACAATTATTATTTTAATTTTCACGTTGTTGATGTTTTCACCTTTAAGGCTGAATTTTGCTTCATTTTCAAATTTCATATTTGCTTTTGTTTTTCATCATTTTTGCTTGTTTCAATTGCTTAATATTATTAAATCAAGATCAAAATGAAAAACAAGAAAAGATGTTGATTTTGTTTTGTTGTTCATTCTGATAATGATGATAATTATGATTATGATACAAAGTGAAACTGGAAAAATCAAGAGCAATTTACTAAACACAAACAAAAAATGCAATACAATTCAAATGTAAACCCTTTAAGCACCCAAACAATTTGTTGTTATCTTTTTTTATGGCTCTTTTCTGGTTCCATATCAATCCAAATGTTCACCCAATTTAATGATGAATCAACCCATTTTAACTTTGCCATTCTAGTTTGTTCATCTAGATCAATCTAAATTGCTCTTTGAAAAGAAAACTTATCTTCTTAATTTCATTTTAATTCAGTCATTTTTCACTTTGCTAACCTGGTTAATTAAAACCCAACCCAGAGATGCATTTGATTCATATTTTTAAATTGTAAATTTAACTTTCCAATTTGTCATTCCAGTCTAATTGAAAGAAACCACTTTAATTTAATTTCAACCATTTAAACGATCACAATCCTCTAATTAAATTTTCAATTCACAATTCAATTTAAGGAAGATTAACACCTGAAAACAAAGAAATTTGCATTTCAATCATTCCCTAGAAATCAAGAAAAACTGTTAAAAATTGATCTTTTAAGGTTGAATTTTTTTCCTAAATTCATTACAAAAGTGATTTTTTCTGAACCATTCATATCTGGCTGAACAATTCTTAAACTCTCATAATTCTGAGTATTTTTATCGACTCATGTAAGTTTATGGATTTCGATTTCTATTTTTCCACTTCAGATGCTGAGAGTGAACTTGAATCAACTTGTACTTTCACCAGTAATAACATTGTTTTGTTCCGATTTCAAACAATCAGGGGAACGGAAATGATGAAGTAAGCCATAATCGCATCCCTTCGATGGGCCAAACTAAAATGAGTGTCAAGAAAACTGACATCTGAATACAAAAAAAGCAAACATTTCCAATGCATCTTCAATGAGGACGGAGTCTTTGGCAATATTTTTTACTGTATACTCGAGTCTCTAGTCAATACTTGCCTGTTATTGTTTCGGGCTAAGCAACGAGTCCATTTATCGAAGAGCCCTGTTGAATGACTTGGGTTATTTTTTATCCATGTCAGGTTTTAATTGCATTTTATTGTTCCAGGAGTGGTTATCATTTAAATTTATACAGACTGGTTAAACTGATTTTATAATTTTATTTAACTGTTAAACAATTTGTTCATCAGTAAATCTAACGCTTTCTCAGTGCTTTTATGTGCTGTAAAGTGGTGAATTGCAGTCAATAAAAGCAAAGCGGATTTTGATTTAATTTCTGGTTCATTTTTGAATCATTGTCATCAAATAAGAATGAATCAAAATTTCAAGAAAATTCTGAGATTTTTTAATAAATTTTAGATTCCCTGGCTCAACTCAGATCTTGGCGTGTCTTTGACAATTATTGAGTGACTTAAAGATGCGTGATAATCTGTCGACTGGTTAATAATTTGTGTAGTTAACCAATTTAACAGTCAATCCTCTAATTTGCTTTAAATTTAATCAATTAGTAGGGGAAATTATAAATTGGTTAAGTTTGGTTAAAATGTAAGTTTGTCAAAATTGATTGATAGGCATTTTATTTGATTTAATTTTCACTCTTTTTTACGTGTAAAACTTCCCAATAAAATTCAAGTCAATCAATTTATGATTGATCTTAAAGTAAATATTTCAGATCAGGTTTTATTCAAAGGCTTCAGTCTTGCCATTCAAGGAACTAAACTTTTGTTACAAAAGTATCAATGAGACTATTACTGTCATCTGGTGATTAAATTTATAAATAAAAAATTAACATACTGAAAGATTCTTGTTTATTTGTTTTCAATCGTGTTTTGATAAATAATATGTAATGCTGAGTAATATTTCTCATGGATTTATATTATGCAGAGTACGCAGCAAGTTTTATTCTTAAAAATGGACACATGATCTGTCTTTTGGAAAACTTTATTAATACAAAACTTTGAATTTTAATTTTTTTTGTGTTGTTGATACAAAAAATTCACCAAGTAACAATTGAGTAGAAAAATTTTGTGACAATTCAATCAAAGCAAATGAAAGGTTCTACTGAGAACAGTTTAAATTGAAGACTAATCGAAGTATTAGTCATTTTTAACCAACTCTAGTTGCTTCGATATTTCCAATGGGCTAGTAGCAGCAGAGAAATACATAAAATTTTGGAAAAATTGGTAACAGTCAGTCAAACAGCCAAAATGAAGTTTAAACTACATTATGGATAGCAGGATTTTTCCAGAAAGATTGGGGCCTGATGAGGTCAGAATTTTAACAAGTTTGCACAAAAAATATAATTCTCATTGCTTGAAGATTTATAGGATGGATGCTGGGATAATCTGTTAAAATAAGTTTAATTGCCATTTGGAACCAAAGAATGAGATGAGAAGACATTAAAATGGAAATGTGAGTGAGATATTAACTTTTCTGCAAACGCCCACCACTAAAAGTCTCGTAAATGTTAGCCGAGAAACAGACGAGCACATCAGTGCAGAGAAGATGTCGAACTAGGGAGAGTCCTTCATCAGATGATTTATTTCTTTCCTTAAGTGCACTGTTCAGGGGTGGCAGTAATTTTGCAAAGGGGACACTTTGTGTATGGGGATTTTTAAATGAGTTTTCAGTTCCTGAAGTTCCTGGCTCAGTTTCAATCTGGAGGAAACACACAACTAATAGGTCCATCATGACTTTATATCCTAAATCAATTGTTTCGATAAATACTTTCTTGAAATCATCACTTTCGAGCAAATCTTCAGTCTCAATGAGCATTTTTTCAATCACAGCTCTATCCTTAGCGGACAAGTTATTGGAAGATGATGCTTGACCATTAGGTGTCTCTGAAGGATCATTTAATTTGGAAACCAAGTATTGACTTGCTTTGAAGTCAGGGGAGTGCAAAAAGAAATTCATATTTGCCTTTATCTGAAATTAAAAAGAGAAAAATTGATTAAATTAGTGCAATGAAAAACGGAATAAGCAAGAATTTATAAGTTAGTGAATTCAACTGAGCTTGGTAACCTAAAATGATTCTTGACAATACTTGTAGACAAAAAATACTGCAAGTTGATTAGATAATAATGACTATTCTAATCACAAAATCTATAAATGACCAACATAACAGATCATTTCCTTTCATGGAGTGACCACAACTTGTAGTGCAAGTCGTTTTATGCCTCAATAAGATTCTCTAAATAGTTTCATGAACAAGTCAAGATAAATGAGGACCAAACAAGTTGAATTTGTGAAAAATCGAGGCTGATGTTTTGTCATCTTTTCAAATTTAAAATTTTCTTCCTCTTTTATATGTAATATTAAAATACGGTCAGCCAACCAACCTTGTCAAAAATTTCAGTAAGATTTTGGAGAACAATCTTTTCTTTTAAGCTTATTGAACCGACAGCTTGGATAACAGCTTCTTGAATAGGTTGAATTAATTTGAGGATTCCTTGATTGAAAAAGGTTTCCAGTAGAGATAAATAATACATTTGAATATCTTTGTTGATTAAACCAGGTGTTGTACCATTTTTACAGCAGTCAACATATAGGTAACCAGCAATGAGACTCAACTGTATCCTTGAAAAACAGACAAACAAAGTGAGTGCATAGATCTCTGATGTTATACGAGTAATTATTCGAATCTTTAATTCTTCCCAGAGTAACAATTTTTCCTCTTGAGATGCACTAGACTTTAATTTGTCCAAAATAGTTTCCGAATTAAGAAGATTATCCAACACAGAGAGTACTCGAGGTGTCAAGTTGTAAACAGTAGTATTGCATGTTTGAATGGTATTCTCAAAATGTGTCTCTTTTTTCCTCACTTCAGAGACAAAATCTTTGACCGAGGAATTTTCCCAATTACGTTCAACAGCAGATAGGTATTTATTGAGTACAACATATCCACCAACAACACCAGAAACCACCAATAACTTGCCTTTATGCCGCTTAATCCATTGCCAACCAGAAGAGATGAAACTCATGATGAGGGCTTGTGACGCTGTACTTTTCTGCCTCTCCTATGTCTTGAATTAAACTATGATTATTCAAAGGACCAGTAATCCCTGTGATATCCAAATAATTATAAATTAAATTTGTGATCACAAAATTGAATAATATGTATACACAAAGCTAAATTGACAGTAAATACTTGATGATGTAGAATAGTGATGGAGATGATGATGATGATGATGACACCATAAACAAGAAACGTTTTCAAATGTATGTTGTCACTCAAGTGGATGGCAAGAGAAGCTGAATGGCAACTACCAAAGTTGGCTTTTTTCACCAAATCAGATTACAAAATACAAAACTTCAATTGTTATTACAAAATGATTAACTCAAATTAAAGGATGTTGTCTATTATAATGATCTACTTTCAAGAATTTGTTATAGTGATTTTAACCTTAAATCTTGATGCAGATAGAAAGTCATAATGATGGGAAACTAAAGGATGAGGATAGATTCAAGCTACAGTAGTATTTTTGGTATTAATAAAAGTTTATATTGAAAACTAGATTAGAGGATTAGATTATCTAGAATGTATCTTTAACATGAACAATATTTCTATCTATACTTATTCAGATCTGTTCAGAACAGTTTATTATTCTCATATTTTCGAGTTATCACTTGTTTTTAGTTGATTGAATATTGCACTGTAACTTGCTTTAACATTACCATCAGTTGTATACCGAATAATTATGATAGACTCTGTGATCACGTCACTGGAACTGATTTGAATTTAATTTAGATATTTATAGACAGAAATGGACATGAATTCACGGCAAGGGAATTTTGGATTCTTCAGGTTTCCTTGGTTCACAATTTTAACACATATTTCTAACCTCGCTACGTCAATTACACTGAAACAAGTCCTTGGGAAACCTTGTACAGAATCTAATTGCTTCAAAAGTGGGATTATTTCATTGAATTACAATCTGTGATTGATTGTTTCTTTCGTTCAAGTTTAATTGACAAATTGGTTATTTTTAGATACAGATTCACAATCCGACAGTTTTTGTACATTAATTTTATTCGATAATTCAATTTTGATAATATTATGCAGATTCTGTAGCCATAATTGAATGTTACTCAATTAATTGACCAATTGCACAATCAGTAAATAAAATAAATACATGAATGTTAATAAAAAGATAACTTTTAAATGACATAAATTTGAAAAATCCGCCTTTGCAAAAGGTTTTGTAATAAACGGCAAAAACTCCAAAGAGTCTGTTACTAACAGAAACTGCATGTTTGTGTGAGTGTTTTGATCTCATTGTTTATTTTTTCACAAGTGTTTATTGTTCAATATAACTTTTCATGTAATTTTTTGAATCGCTAATTTGATGGATTTAAGAGAAAAGATATTTGAATCAATCAAGCGGAGTCATGAGCTCTTTGCCAATGATTTTGGCGCATTACCAGAAAATCCAGACTATGAGAGTTGCTTGTCGATTCGCGGTAGAGATCAATATGGACACATTTACGACAGAGTTAATTCTATGGGTGATAAAAAAACGAATTCGTTTGGAAATTCAAAAACTCCCCTCTTAGGACCCTCTTTACCGGCTCCATCACGTAAGTTAAAAACCATTCAATGGGGTGATAATTCTAAAAACCTTTTTTCATTTGTCTTTTTTCCACAGAAGCATTAGTACTTTCGAAGCAACAAGACTCCTCGATATCACCTAGAACACAAAATCAGAGACCATCATTAGGAGCAATCATCCCTCATAAAGCTCCTGTTATGCCAAAACCTCAATGGCATCCTCCTTGGAAATTGAAGAAAGTAATCAGTGGTCATACTGGTTGGGTACGATGTCTAGCTGTTGACACCAGTAACGAATGGTTTGCAAGCGGTTCAAATGATAGGACGATTAAAATTTGGGACTTAGCAAGTGGTAAATTGTCATTGACCGTTACCGGCCATATCTCACCAGTTCGAGGCTTAGCTGTAAGCTCCAATCATCCTTATCTTTTCTCTTGCGGTGAAGATAAGCAAGTGAAATGCTGGGATCTAGAGCAAAATAAAGTAATTAGACATTACCATGGGCATTTGAGTGCTGTTTATTCAATTGCTGTATTGCCAGAATTAGATATCCTTATAACTGGTGGAAGAGATAAAGTTGCACGTCTCTGGGACATGAGAACTAAAGTTCAGATTCACAGCCTGAGTGGCCACAACGACAGTATTGCGTCCGTGCAATGCCAACCATCTGATCCACAAGTAATCACTGGATCTCATGACAGTACCATTAGAATGTGGGATATTATTGCTGGAAAAACTATCAAAACGTTGACTCACCATAAGAAAAGTGTGCGAGCCTTGCAATTTCATCCTGTCTACAACATGTTTGCCTCTGGTGCACCTGATAATATCAAACAATGGATGTGTCCTGATGGAGATTTTGTTCAAAATTTGAGTAATCATAAAATGGTTAATTGCTTAGCTGTTAATGAAGATAACGTTCTTGTCTCAGGAGCTGATGATGGCTCATTGTACTTTTGGGACTGGAAATCAGGATATAATTTCCAAAGTTTTAACTCATTACCACAATCAGGTTTCGTGGGTGCTAACTCTGTTTATGCTGCTTTGTTTGATAGAAGTGGTTCTCGATTAATAACCGGCGAATGTGATGCGACTATCAAAATTCATCAAGTGGATGAAGAGGCCACCCCTGAAAGTTTTCCAATCAACTGGAAGCCTGGAATTTTCAGACGAACCATGTAATATATTTATTTTTGCACAAAAGTTAAGAAATACACCATTTAATAATTTTTTCATTTATTCTTCAAATCTTTAAATTATTTACCATATTCTTTCGCTGACATTTTTTCTAAAACACTCGAATTATTAATTATTAGAAAGAAAATATTGTGTCAAACTGTTTTTTTTTCATAAAAAAAGTTAAGAATCAAACTTACTCATTCGGTAAATTAAAAAGATTAAAGGTCCAGTAAAAAGCTTGATTTGTACGATTTGACGATATAGATAGATGCTATTAGAATTTAACCACCAATTCACGATTTAAAATAATAATGGCCGACGTGATCTAATAATAGTCGATAAAATTTGTCGTGAATTTTACAAGATCATCTTTTATTACAAGAAGTGGATTACAGAGCTGGAAAAAAGCTTAGAAATAGTGATTTTTGCTTAATAACTTAGTTTTTTATTTGTAAAATTGATCAAAATCAGGATGCGTATTTTTAGCGCAAGAGCACCAAAAATTTACAGAGAAAAAAGTTTTGAAATTCACACTTTTTTGCAAAAACTAATTGAGATAATTACGTGAATCTTTATAAAATTTATGTTCATTGGCTGATAAAACAATTTATAAATTTTGGCAAATTTACATTACATTAGAAATTTCAAAGAGGATTTAACATGGAGTTTAATAGAGAAGCTCATTTACAAATCCTTTCAAAAATTCCAAGAAGCATTTGAGGTCAAAAAGTTTAGCTTATTTTCAGTTCTTTGGATCATCCAAAAATTGTGATTAGAAGCGATTACGATGAGTTTATTTATTGGCCCAAATGAATGCTAGCCTTCAATTGAAAACGCATTGTATTATTCATCATAAAACGATAACCAATGACAATTATCGTAATCGCTGATAAATTATTGGAGCAATTTTCATTTACTAAAATTTGGATCATCCAATAGAAATAAATTTAATCAATAAATTTAATTTTAAATAATGAACAAAAACAAAGTGAACTACATTAGTTTTGTATCATTCTAATATTTCATACGATTGCAAAGGGAAAATGTTGCAGAATTGACATAAAGAATCTCTTTTTTGCATGTAGCAAAAGAAATATTACATAGATTGGTGAATAAAGGATAATGATATTGTTCTTGTAAAAATAAGGATGATAATTATAACATGGATAATGAAAAAATAAGCCTGATAAAACATTCGCACTTATTTGTCTTCACTCTCATCAGCTTTCAGCGTTTGGACTTGGGTTTTCTGACAGGCTCTTTGTTTTCATCATCAGAGCTTCTATCATTCTCAGATTCATCTGAATCTGAATCATCGTCCTCGTCTTCATCTACTTCGTCTTCATCTGCTTCGTCTTCCTCTACTTCGTCTTCATCTACTTCGTCATCATCATCATCTTCCTCGGAATTTTCATTGTCGGAATCATTGTCATCCTGTTTGATAGTCTCCATTTCTTCGTCATCGCTGGATTGCTGTTGTTCTAGTTTGGCTTTCTTAGAATTAGCATTGTCATTATTTCGACTTCGTTTAAGATTCGAACTAGTCTCATTTTTTTTCAAATGCCTTTCATAAAGCGTCTTTTCTTTTGAATTGAGGCTCTGAAAAAATATAAAAATATTATTAAATTAAAAATTATGAATAAAAGATTTGAATTCGTATAGTATAAATCAAAACCTTACCTTAACAAAAGTTTGAAGTTGATTTTCATAAAGACTTGAAAACTCTTTAACTTTATTCTCGTAACGTTGTTTTTCTGATTCAGTTAAAACAGATCGCCATAAACGAGAAACTTCAGCCATGCGTTTTTTGGGTTCAAAATTGCTTAACTGGGCCAATTTTTCGGTCAAAAATATTGAATATGCGTTTTTAGGAGGAGGTTTAGGCATCTTTTTTAACAGTGCTGTCACAATTTCAACTTCAGCTGGCTCTAAACCTTCATAACGGTCAGTGAGTTTAGTTTTCTTTACGCCAGTTGGTTTCTTTGTTAAAGACATGCCTTCCACCATACGGAAATACTTTTCCTTTTTATCCAACGGCATTTTTGACCATTCTTCAATAATTTTACCTGTTAACTCTGATTGACTTTTGTTCTGATTTTTTGCTTGTAAGGCGACAAGCCTTTCTGCTTGGAAATAACATTGTGCTGCAGCACTGATATTAGCGTCTTTAGCCAACTCTTCTACAGGTAAATCTTTGATATCTTTTTCTTTACTCTTAGAAGGTGACTTTTTTGCTTTGTCACCTGGCAGTTTATATTTCTCTTCGGCCATAAATTGTTCCTTTTCGTCTTCCGGTAGAGAGGCAAGGTATGTTTCCATCTTATCGGAATACTCTCTTTGCTTCTTACAGGCTTCTTGATTATAACGATTTTTTTCGTCCTGGGACAATTCTTTCCATTTATGAGCAATAAGGGTCATTTTCTCTTTAGCCGGACAATCTTTTATTCCTTTCAATTCAACTTTGGAAAATAGAGCGTAACCTGAGGACGGAGGTCTTTCCGGTTTTCCATCATATCGCTGCTTTAAATCTTTCTCCATTTTGTTCAGAACTTTTATAACCGGTGGTTCATAGTCAGGGTTAGCCTTTTTAAATTCACTAAGTTCTTCGATGTAGCGTTTTTCATCGGCTAATGATTTCTTAATCCACTTGAGGCGTTTCTTGTCAGATAAGTCGTGCCATGCCTTTCTCATTTGTTCCAAATTATCTTTTTTGGAAAATTCCCCGTCTTCAACTTCTTTGGAATCAATCTTTTCCGCAGTCTTTTTTCGGCAGAAAATTTGGAATGGAGTTTTTGGTCTAACAGGTCCAGGATAAGCTTGTGTGGGCTCTTTCTTATTATGAGGGTTGATCTCAATTTCAGGATGGAGTTTTTTAAACTCTTCCATTTTTCGCTTATACTCCTCATATTCTCTATCAAAAGCTGTTTTGTACTTTGCTTTTTTCTTTTCAGAGAGATCACGATACTGAGCGGCTAAAGCTTTAGCCATATCAACAACAGATGTTGAATTAGGATTCTTCTTAGCAAATCGTTCTCTTTTCTCTGTAAAGTATCTCAAGAAAGGAGTTAAAGGTTTTTTGGGTAAATCTGGATGACGTGTTTTCTTGTTGAGCGATGCATTGTTATAGGGATTTTTAGCCCAATCCCGTGCATCACCTAGAACTTCAGATAAAGTGCGATATCTTCTGATTCTAGTCAACACCAAATCCCATTGGGATTTACACTCATCAGCAGAGTAATCTTTGAATTTTATATCATCCCAGCTCAATTTTTTAGCAGTTGTCGAATATTTAGCAGTATCATTTTTAGGTAAACACTTATGAATATTCTCAATCAAAAGTTGAATGTCTTCAGAAGGCCATATTAACTTAGCGACAACCTCTTCAGCTGCTTCTTCAACAGGAACTGATGAAGCAACATGATCCTCAGCAGCAAGAAGTATCTGAGCAATAGGTGCAACAATAGAGTCACTATCATCTGCAACATAAACAAGAAATGATTGAAATGAAACACTTGTAATCTATTGTTAACCTCTCTTTCACCAATAACGAGCATCAACCACGTAAACATGCTCACACAGGTAGAGAGATGCTTGATTACTAGTTACCAAGGCAAGCTTTGATACATATTTGATATTGATGAGAGAGATACAAAAAAGGAAGAAAAAAGTTAACTTACCAAGTGAAGGAATATTAACCGATTTTGATGACGACTTACTCATCCCATAAGTATTAACTTTCATTAAATTAATAGAAATCAAAAATTAAAATTAAGAACGACACAAAATAATAAAGAGGGAAAATAGAACACAAGAGAGGAAAAGGTACGGGTTGAAATCCAAAAATGTGAGCTGCAAAGTGCCCCACCAACGGTTAAGAACCAGTCATCAAACCAGCAACCAGTCACACTCAGCAAATTTTACAGGATCCGAGTATAGACTTATACTTGTTTGGATCCGAGTCTGAGCTACCAGTTTCGGTTACCCAAATTAGTCGACTGTGAGAGCTTACTGACTAAGCCTTACTCACTTAATCTACACAGTTTACTCATTCCTACATTGTATTTACGTTTCGCATTAACTGATGAGAAATTTATTTTTAATCTAGACCTATTATTATTCAAAAGATAACAATTCTGTTATTAAGTGATTTATTATCATAAGATATTTTCAATTCTAATAAACCCAAACCCTTTATTAGCAGATTCAAGTGAAGTAAAACAAAGTGTCAACAATCATTTGGTCAACTTTAATAATGAATTTACTGGAAATATTAACAATTCAATCAAGCATTGGAAAAAATTATAGATTTTCTTGGTCGATTCAACACTTTTTTGGAACTAATAGTTTTTTATTAACATTGAAATAATTTAATCTTTGAAACAAAAAGTTGGACCACATGAAATTATAAGATGATGATGTTATGATTATGTTAGTTATACATTTAGATGATTTGATGGTGATTTTTTGAAAGGCAATGCAACAAAAAACAATATAACTCACAGTTGAACTTGGTCTTGTCAAGATGTAAGCATATTCATTATGGAAAGAAAAGTTTGAACCAGAGTTTTGTTTTTGAAGTCTACATTAGATGATTCGTTGATTAGCAAGAAATCAACGGCTTTGGGTTGTTTACGCAGACATGATGCAAAATCGGGAAAAGTGCTGCAAACAAGAGTCAAGAAGTCATCTAATCCCTCAGTCAATCTATCATAAATGTAACCCGAAACATTGAGTGGACCATCAACACATTTTGGAGATTTAATATTTTTTGAATCTTCCAACACTTTCCTGGTGGCACAGCACAATGCTGGAATCATTTGTCCCTCAGTTGCATTTTCCTTGATCATAGCCAACGAATTGAGATACACTGCTTCATTTGTCCTCAGCTTCTTGGCATAATCTTCATTTATGCATCTGTAATATTTGAATATTTCTGTAAACGAAGAGTGAAAATTAGTTTATGATTGAGAGCAGTTTCATTAAAAATTAAACCATTACCTGGATCTTTGGTCCCACAAGCAGCTCTTAAAACGCGTCTTTGTCCATAGCCAAAAATTAAGATCACTTGGGTCAAAAACGGAGGTAAACAAGGAGCAACTTTGATTATTGTAGGAATCAATGTTTTATAAGGTCTATTAAGAAATGGACAATTATACCTAAATTAGAAATTGTTTTTAACTTCCAAATGATTTCCAAGTCTTACCGACAATACAAATCTCTGGTTGTCTCATTAACCGGGAAAATTGGGTTGTCTCTCATATGAAGTATATCTTTAACGGTCTCATCAATTTGTGCAAGTAACTCTGGACATTTAGTATCATCTGAAATAAATAAATACAAATAGACATGATAGATGTATTATTTTAGGTAAATATCGATCAGCTTCTCTAATCATTGATTAAAAATCTGAGTTCATGAAAAATAAGACTTTTGAGAAAGTATTACTTACTTGAGACAAAAAAACCCAAACCAAGTTGAAAGTGTAGAGCAAATGTTAGTGTGTATAACAAATATTTTGAATTGATTCCATTCATGGTGACTCGTAACAAGCTTAAATTAATGGGAAAACATATCAATCATAATAATTTAAAATTTTTCACAAACTATTAAACAACAATCAGAGAATCAAACTGTTAACTGGCAATCGAGTAAGACTGTGGATGTTGTTTATTTACCTCTCCTTCCTCTCACTTGAAAGAGAAGAATCCTTTTTTCCAATTCTCTCTCCTTCTCTCCATGTTTTCTTGATATTTATTTTTTATTGCACATTGAATCAGATTTTTGATTAGTTAGCCCTAGGCCAGCTTAAATACAAATGACACAAAGTAGTTACACGCACAATTTGACTGACAATACAGACAGAGCCAGAAAGATTTTACGTGTTCCCCTGTTTATTGAATCAAGTAGTTTGACCATGGCGATCAATTTGTGCCCTTGAAATGGTTCAATAAAATAAATTACGGAAGAGTAAATTGTTTGTAAATGATTGTAACAAACAGTTGTTTGCTCTCTCCCCATTGTAACCTTAATTGTAAAGGCATTGTAATATTACATCAACGAGTAAAAGATTGAAATTGAAATCACGATTTGAAAGGTCAATAATGGTTGTTACAATCGTTAAATTGCCCTTATATTGTGATAAATGAAAAAACAAGTGCTAGTGAATGCAAGTCATGCGACCATTTCAATTACTTTTTAATCATTTCAACAGATTCTAGTTGATTAATTTGTGAATCCTTCTTCAATCTTCAGTCAACAGAGCAAGACACAGATTTAGACGTCGCGTTTTTAGTTTGATAACTCTGTACTTTGATTTGCAAAACTAATTAAATTTAGGCAAATTAAAACAATAAAATGAAAAATCCTGATAAAAGAAGGTTCAAGAGTCCATTTTATTGATATATTGTTAGTACCATTAACAATAAATGGGCAAAAGTCTAGCAAAAGTCTAGACATTAGCTGTTTTTATGAAAAATAATTGAGATAGTTACACGTTGCTCATCAGATGAAGGAGCAATTAATCAATTTTAATTTTATAATCAATCAAAATTTTCTTCAGCAGCTTGAATGTTACTTTAACATGGGATTTAATGAATTAAAGCTCGTCTGCGAATGCAACCTCGAATCGCGAGAAGCGTTTGATATCAAAAGGTTCAAAAATTATACAAAACAAATGCTTTGTGATTTTTTGAATCGATGTGGCATCAAAAATAAATCAAAGACTAAAATGCTTTGGATTTACATTTGTTAACACGGGTTAACCAATTTATTTAGTCTTAAACGTTTTAAAATTTACATTACTTGGGTAATAATTTAATTTGAAGTTAATTATTAAAGTTAATTTGCTAATTTACCAATAATTTGCAATACAGAACCAACTAAAGGAGTTTCTTTGGTATCAACCATATCTGAAAAATTTTCTTCCAATAATTTAACTGATTCGGCGGCCTTTTCTTTGCATACATCGAAAGATGGGAATGATCCACAAATCAGGTCCAGAGTATCACCTAGAGAGGTTTCAATTAAACTGGTAAAATGCTTTGGCAAGTCAATTGTTGGGTCTTCACATTTCAGTTTGGGTAAAGTGACCAGTAAACTTTCAGATATATTACGAGCTGTACAGCAAAAAGATGAGTGAAGTTTGTCTTGAGGAACCTTTTCCTTAATCACTATCAATGAGTTTAAAAAGATTGCCTCTTGTTTATGAAGAGACTCTTTGAATTTGGCATCCATGCAAGAGTAAGTTTTGATGATTTCTGTAGACAAATAAAAAAGACATCATTAGTTGATTGTTGACATGGTAAGTTGCTAATCCAATTTCAAACGTACTTTCTCCATCACCATTACAAATTAATTTAACCGGTTTCCTGGTTCCTTTGGACATGATTGAGACAACTTGAGCTTGGAATCGAGGTAAACACTTGACGTATAGATTGGCCTTTTTCAATAGCTCTTTGGATGGTCTAAAAGTAAATGATTATACATTAATGGACAATCTAACAAATATGGTTGATCAAAAGTTGATTTGAAGACAAATCATAAAATCACACTTAAATCCTCGGTTTATGATTATTTTCAACTCTGTTTGATGTGGATCTGTTCACTTAAATTTCACATTTACACAATAGTTAGTTGATTGTTAATTTAAAATGATTATCAGAAAAGATTTAGTCCTTGGATGGACAATTCATGATAGACTAACTCTTACCCGCAAAACAGTTCACGATTTTCAGTTGAGTTGGGAAATAATGGATCGGGTTTCATGTGTAAAACATCCTTCATTAGTGAATCCAGTTCGTCCCCAATAGCTTTACAATAAGTTTCATCTGTAAATTTAAAAGATTGTCGGTCGGTTAGTTGGTGTTCAAAATCAATTTGTGATATAAAATTGATACACTGTAATAAATGAAGAGATCAACGTACTTTGAGCAGATACTTTCATCGAAAGAGTTAAGGCAAGTAAAACTGTTGCTGTGATGGTTTTCATTTTAAACATTTAACGAGGTTAACACCAATTCACAAGGTAACAAATTATTGAAGATCTTATTGAAAAATCAATAGGCAGTTGAGGATCGATTGAGTTTGAGAAGGTTACAATGAAATTGATTCTGATGTTGGTGGTTGCAATGTCGATTAAATTGTAATAATTTCTCGACTCAAATCAAGGCTTTTTTATACATCTTACAATTAGGTTGGCCATAGTGATCCTAAAACGAGGGATGTGCTAACCCTAATCACCATCACCTTGATAATCTAGTCTGCAGTATTAAAAAATTATGATTACAATTAGCGGTTATTATCGTGAGTTAATTACCGAAGGTCTTGGATGATAATAGACACAAACAAACATAATTTTTGTTTCATTTTTGTCAAACTAGAAACAAACAAATCTCAATCCTAATTCGTTTTAAAAATAAATCTTCATTTGTTGTTGTTTACATCTTTTTACCTGCTAATTTCATGAATTTGAAAGGTAAACATTAAACGCTACCATCAACCTTGAGACGTTCAAATACTTGATTTAATTAATTTTTATTAATCTTTTTTGTTTACAGCAAGCAATTATAAAATGAACAACAAGTTTCTAAAATAAGAATGTGGATGTTTTAATTAAAGCACTGTAACATGACAAAATTTATATTGATGTATTGTTTTTATCACAGACGATTGCCCAATGTAAATTCATAATATTGCAAAAAAGTTCTGAATTTATTATTTCTGATTGATTGTCTTAACATTAGATTAGCCGAAATGAGTGCTTGAATTTAATTTAATCAGGAAAACATGATTTTCTTATTTTTTAACTTTGGATTCTTTGGATAAGCTTTAAAGGACGTTTTGGACAATTTTGTTACAAATCAACTGAGGTATTCAACCGTTTCAATGGAGGTCTCAAGCCACGAACATTAGACAGTGAGTTCTTTATCGAGCTATCTGCCATAATTGATGTATACAGCTTAGCAGCAACAAATAGACAACATAGAATCATTGGTCCAAAAAAGGCTCCGGTAAAGCCGAGATAAAATACTCCACCGGCGATGGCTAAACCAGTTAGATAAGGATGACCACCGCTAAATACAAAAAAACGCGAACAAAATAGATTAAAATGAGATTAAAAAAGGTTAAAATGTATAAATTATTTACCCCTTGATATCACTGTAAATTGCTGAGTCAACGAAATATGATGGAAGAACAGCGAAAAAAGACATCAATAACGATCTACCTCCTAAGCCATGAATCAAATAGAGTTCAAGAACTGCAGGTATTGATGCCCAGTAAGCACCAATAAACGGAACAGCTCCGAAAAGGGCAGCAAGAACTAAAAATAAAATGTTGAGAGTTGATCAGTTGAGATTAGATATGACCAAAGTGGAACATTTTGGCATTTATCAAATTACCTGAAGGTATGTAAATGATACGAACTTCAAATAAGGTGTGAATCAGCCAAGTATATAAGCCATAAAAAACAGTCATCTTAAATGAGGCAGCAAAAACGCTATTAATGGATTCCTCAACAGCTAGCCCAAATTTGTTCAAATAGTTTCCACCTTTGTCAATATTAGGTATAAATCTTCCTGCTAGCTCAACAGGTTTGTATTCATCTCCACTGGAGCAGAGAAGGTAGAAGAGTGATGTGGCAAACACAATCTGTACCCAAAGTAAAATATTTACAATTAAAAGTGAGGAAAAATTGATATACTAATATATAGTAGCAAGAAATCTAAAATAAAAGACTTACAAAATTAAGACAACAGTTGAGTATTGCTGTGCTACCACTTAAGATCATTGATAACACAGCAGTTATTACAGTAAATAAAAGAGTGAAATTAGATTTCAATAAAACCCAGACAGAATCAAAAATCTGTAAGAAAAGAAAACGATTAATACTAAAACTCAACAAGTTAATATATCAATTGTAAATAGATTAAAGACTTACAGATAGAACAGTGTCCAAATTTTCTTTGAGAAGATTTGCACAAAGAACCAAATCCAACGTCTTCAAAGCAGCAAACAATCGATTCCAACTGTATGTTTCAAAAGATCGGTTTCCTAAGCCAGTAAGAGTTGAATTGTTATTGCGAATCAACCATTGATGATATACTCGATCCCAAACTTCAAGTAATTGTTTCTCTACCAGTACGGTTGCATTTGAACTTTCCTGACCAGCCTCTAAAGCGTTTCGTATCGATTTTTGAAGCCATTGACGACCATAAATATAAGCGTTGTTTATCATCTCATCGAAAACATTTTGACTGATGAGGTCACTTGCAGGAAATCCTGTTGCTAATTGAGGATTATTCACTAAAGTTGAATTGACAACATTTCCCATCAGCTCAACTAAACAAGCACTTTCGTGATAAATCTTTGATAACAAAAGATAAAAATGACCACAAAGACTTGTGAGTTTACAATGAGCCAAAAAAAATAATTAATCAGAAAGTTAGATTACCTGGACTGCTAAAAATGCCACAGCAAAAAGTACTCCAAATAACAGGACAAAGATTGTTAAAAGACTGCAAATGGTATCAATCGAGTCAAGTAAAAAACTTGCAATCTGTTTCAAAAAAGTTCATTTGTTAGATTTTTAGATTTTTAGATTTTTAGATTGATTAATCTTTTATAGTAGACTTACAGTAGCATCTCCTAAAAAATAGTATTGATGTATTCCTGTTAAAATTGAATTATGTAGAAAAGGAAATTGGTTTTCAAGAAATCTACGCAACGATGATTTCCATTCTGATACAATCTGATTCCCGTTGATTTTTCTCCATACCCAAGATACGGCAAACACGAATATTGGGACAGGAGTTAAATAGAGTAGTTGTGGTCGCAACCAGACTTGAGCTAGGAGACAGCTCCAGAAAACTGAATAAAGGTATGAATTGCTGAGTTTAAAACTACCCGTTGGAGGCAATTTTTCACGTTCATCGGATTGATTCTCACTGGGTAATGATTTCGTTGAAGAAACTGAGTCTGGTTGAACTTCCTTATCTTCGGATTTTACTTTTTCGGTATCAGGGTTAGATGGAGGGTTATCAGTATCTAATAGCATCGGTTCAGACTCATTTTTATTGTCACCATTTTCATCTGATGAGATTGAGAATGAATGAGCTGGAAGCAGACTTAGACAACATTTCCAGATAAAGTTAATTGAACGCTTTAAAGAGGCTGGGAATCTGTTGTAAGCAGCATCGGGAACATCTTCACCAGTTTCATTCCTTGAATGGAGAAATAAGCTGGCCCCAAAACCAGTCAAAGTAATGAGAGTGAAAATCACGCAAACAATTACGCCAATAGTACCTATTATGCTGATAATTTTGAAAATTATGAAGAAAAAGGTGAAAGGAAGTATAGTGTTGGAAGCTCGCTGAACTACATTAGTAGGTGAAAGCAAATTCAACAAAAGTTGACTGAGAATTAAGGTGATTAATAGGTAAGCATTGCATGAATCAATCAATAGATTGGATAAATTAATCAAAGTATTTATAATTTGAGAGGAGAATGAGATTAATTGGTGAGTAAAAGAGAAATAAAATAGACTGAGATGGATGACGAGGAGAGTGACAAATATAAATGCCAATAGTTTATAATAATGTTGGACAATCTTGGCCACTGAATTGACGATAAAATTGATCAAAGTTAAAGGCATTTTTATCACTGAGATACTAATAGGTCGCTTAGTGTCATCAGTCAGCCACCAGCGAGAAAATCGTGTTAGTTTTCGCTTGAAAGGATGCAAAACTGATCCAATCAATGTTGCCCATAGTAAGGGTTGAAGGAATGGCTGGAGCACAAGGTATACAGCAGCAACCGATGAAAGAACGAATAAAATGAATAAAATTGCAATGGTATTATAGAAAGCTTGCTTCAAGGCCTTTTCGTTTCCTTCTGTGATCAGATTGAATACATCGTTGAAAGGTGATATAAGACGGGAAACGTCACCAGGTCGAACCATGACTATAATCAGCCACAATTTAATACACGTTACTCATTCACATCTGTCATAATTAGAAAAAAGTCATAATTCGATGATTTAATATGTTATGTATGTAGTCACACAGAATTTAAGGACTTAAAAATCTGAATAAAAGTTCATAATTACCTGACTTATTAAACATATCAAAGAATTAAATCAATCCAAGAGTAAAAATTTCAAAAAATCATGAAAATATTTGACAGACATTTGAATATATTCATGCCGAGATGAACAGCTGAAATATTAAATCGTTACACTATGAGGTTTACGTTGGCGATTGAAAATATTTCATAATTTAATTGACAAATTCAAGTGCATCCAGTATCAAAGTTTCTTGCATGGGTTGTCATTTCATCACCAATAACTACTATTAATATAAAACAATTGTAAAGTAATTAGTAAACAATATTATCTAATTATAGTCACTTCCTGAGCAATGAGGCTCGGTTAAAATAGCCTATTCTTACTATTTAACGAGCAAATTGTTTAATGATTGTTTAACGTTTAACAGACAAATGAAACTCGTGTTTGATTGATTGGAAGCGATTAATTCTCATGGATAGCCTTAGATACTACTGGACTAATGGACTATTTCCCTAGTTCAAGTGAATGTGTCGGTTTATCATCAAAAAGAGAAAGAATAAAGTGAATTTGGAAATTTAGAAAGCTGGTCAATAGTCAATAAGTATCCTATTGCCAAATATTCAGGATTAAGTTAATTCTTTCAAATAAAATAAATTGTACAACACATTTACCATGGATGATGACGATGACTTCGACGTTCCTGATGATCTGGAATATATATTTACAACTAGCGAAAATAGTCTGAATTTATTTCCAGATATATCAGCCATGGGAAATCAACTCAAGTTAAAGATGAATGAAGAAGACTTTCAATCATTAATTTTGGCCATATTGCTCGTAATACCGATTTTAGCAATATCTAGATATACCTTACATATTTATAAACACAGAAATGCTTATATAAGTGAATACTGTTTTATATATCGATCCTGGAAATCAACTATTGCTCGTAAAGTCAGGAAAAAATTTAAAAATTGTTTTAAAGGCAGAGCGATTAATGAATCCTATGAGAAACTGAAAAAAAACTACGACACGGAGGAGGACGTCTTATTCAACAGAGATAAATCGGCTGAAAGTGTTTTGAATAAAATTAAAGACAAGAGGAAAAACACAAAGAAAACTCGATTGACAAACAAAAAGTGATAATTCAATATGGAATGTAAACTTAAAGCAAATATTTTATTTAATAGCCTTTGCTTGATGAGTCCAAAAAATTTCTTATACAGCATAACCATAAGCAGCTATAATATCTTGAAGAGGTTTCAGTTGTTTAGCCAAAGATTCCTTGGCTTGTACACGTATTTTCTTCTCTTCCTTTATTTTCTTGTACCTAACTAAAGAACGTGCTTTTCGTCGGGCTTCAAGAGTTTCGATTAATCCTTGATATTTCCATCCAACTTCATGTGATAATCTTCCAAGTGCACAGAACTGTAATCGTGAGAAAAAGGGTTAAAAATATCATTAGTTTTTTGAAATTCAGAAAATTAAATTCAATCAAATTGAAAAAATCAGAATAAAGGTTTATATCATATTTATCATCTAATGTAGATAAGGAAATAGAAATCATCATTTTACAATCAATAAAATACAAAAGTTTGTAAAGCTTACCTTACGACCTCCTTGTAATCTTAAAATTCTAAGAGCTGATGGGATAACCATTCTTTTCTTTTTGTCGAAAGGTGGGGGAATACCTTCATAGGCTTTGAGCCTCAATAATGCGGTGTAACCACGTTTTGTCTTATGAGGTAACATACCTCGTACAGTACGCCATAAGATTTTACTGGGAGCCCGGAAATGGAAGGGTCCACGTTTAGGATTTACATTACATCTCTTTCGGAGGAAAGAAAGATATTTAACTGCAATAAAGTAAAAGCAAGTTAGTAAAACGATAAGGGACATGTGACACCATAATGAACATACGTTTATTTCGGTAAAATGAACCAGAAATGTTGATTCCTTCACATCTTACTACGACAACTTTTTGACCTGTGAAACGATAAAGATAAGAAAAAAAGAGACACGTGAGTAATCATACAATAGGATCATAGACCGAGTAATCGGTTAGTTTAAACTCTCAGATGGTAGTGCATTGTTACTTTAATCACTGTAGGTCAGTGTTGGTGGAAATTATCATCACAGTAATTAGTAAAAAAATGAAATCAAATATAATTAAAAAAACCTTACCTTGTAATAGAGTTTTTGCAACAACAGCGGCAAGTCTACCAAGAAGGTGACCCTTACCATCAATAATAAGAGGCTGGAGAACAATGAATAATAAGTAAGTGTTAAACTTTGACCAATGATGATTAAAAAAATTAAATATAAATTACCTTTTCTTTAAATCCGGGCATTCTTGGTAGAAATATAAATTAAATTACACTACTCAAACAAAATTCAAGACTGAGAAGGAAACGGAAGCGAGTAAAAAAGTAAGATTCAAGTAAGGGAAAGTTTCTTAAGTGCAAACTGTAAAAAACTTAAAGCACTTGAAGTTGTTCAACTTGGCTCGGCTATTGACAATTTAATTAATTTCATTGATCATTAGCGCTTTTTAATATACCAAAAATTTTGCACCAATTAAGATTGACTTTAAACAGTATTTATTCAATAAAAAATAGGAAAATACTCTTTTCTTTAGTTGATTAAAGCTAATAAGCTTTATGCTAAATAATCTGATTTTTGCTTAAATCTTATTAATTAGGTTAGTTTTCGAATCAGTAAATTAATTCAAACGTTTGTAATTCAAAGGATTAATTAATTTATTACTATTGACTATTGTGTTTCAATTTACGTGATGGACTGTTGGGAAATAGGTAAGAATTTAAAAGAGCAATGATGATTGTTTTAATCTTAATTAGGCTAAATTGCCTTAAATTTTATTATGGTTTCTAAATTAGTTCCAATGTGAGGTAGAATTGTTGTTTAAATGTTTATTAATAGTTAACTTCTAAATGATTAAATGTTTACTCACAATTAATTTCCAAATTTTGTTTATATGTTCAAAGTTAGTTAGGTTTGCCGCCAAACTCTTGGCCAAATCAAATTGTCTTTCTTCTTCTTCTTCTGATCATATGTTGCTAGTAAAAAGTCAAAAGTTTAATCTTATTAAGTTTGGCTGTATTCTTTATGTAAATGATGTTTCTTTTTAAGTTTAATAGATCTGATACAAATTTTGACTTATAATAAGTGTCCAGCTATTTGTTGTGATTCCTACTTATCGTTACAATTATCATTATGCTTGTATTTAACTGTCTAATGTCAAACCATTTGCCTCATATATTTACTCATTTCCTTTTCTTGTTATGAAAATTTTTCTACAGCACTCAAATGATTAGATCTGATGCGATTTATAGCTGTTTAGCTTAATTTCTTTTACTTTTGTGTATGTTCTTTCACCCTACTACACCCTGACCAATCAACTTGTTTGATTAGACACAAGTCTCTCAATGGAGTTTGAAGTAACTAGTCAAAATGGTTCATCTGAAGCAAGTGGTTCGCCGGTTTCCACAATTCCAACTGAAACTATGGATCACGTACCTGATGTTAATAACGATCCTAAACAAAATGAGCCAGAAGCCGAGCCTGTCCGGGGTTTGGAACTGATCTATCGAGTAGCTTCCGAGCTTGCCGCTCGAATAGCAGAAGAGAAAAGATACGAAGGCATTATCAAACCGTGCTCAGTCAATGTTCAAAGAATAACTGATGTATCTAATTTTAGAATAATCAAGGATCCAGATAGAATCTTGCAAGAAACAGAAAAGACATCAGATACTGTGATTATACCAAATGGACAACCCCCTCTATTTAACCAAGCTACTACAACCACAGAGCCTACAAATATGCACATTGATTTAACTGATTCTGACGATGAAGAAGAAATGGTATTACCTTCAGAAGGGATGGATATTCAAAACGACTGTGAAATTTTACAAGAAAAAACTGTATGTATTTCCATCTTTTCTCCCCTTCTTCATTACCAATAGCCATAATGTTAATGTTGTTTTTTTACTCCTCTTCACAGACTTATTTTTGCGTTTTCTGTCCTCAAAAAAGTATTCAAGGAAGAGCTGCAGCCATTGAACACTATCAAGCCCATTTGGATTACTATCCTTACAAATGTATGATATGTTTAGAAGTTTTAACCAATCCGCAAAATCTGGTAAAGCATTTCCGCGCCGATCATACAGACGTAAAAACAGCAATATTCAAGAAAAAACTGATGCCTTGGGTATTGGACTGGATTGAAGCCTTTCTTGATTCCCAGATGGGACCGAATAAGAAACGGAATTTCAAAATTGTAGCCTACTGTCCAGTTTGTGAGTCTAGTGAGAAAAAAGAAGATATTATCCAAATTCCCCCCAATTTTGTTCAACCAAGAAAACAGTTTATTCATATCTACAAGCATCTTCTTTATGAGCCTTATGTGTGTAAAATTTGTAATCAAACAGGAAAAAAATTTTCTATTAGTGATTTCGACGATCGTGCATACGAGCATATCTTAAAAAATCATCCAGAAGCTGAAGATCTTCTATTGACACAAGTTTATCAAAAACTCAATTACATTAAACCACTGGAAGGATTTATAATCCACTATTTAAGTTCTATGGGAGTCTCTACTAGGAGAAGATTCCCAGAAAAAATACCACATTTTGTTAGAAATAAATTCAAAGCTAAACACGAAGCAAAGGAAAAGGAAAAGGAAAAGTTAATTGCAGATAAAGATTCAATTAAACCAGTGACATTGGGAGATTTGGTTAATCAAAGTTCTTCAACCAGTTTACAAAGCAATCATACAAACCACTCCTTCAATGGACAGTCTATTCTTAAGTCTGATAAACCAATGGTATCTAATCAAGTCATGACTAATGCACAAAGTTTTCAAAACACTCCATCAACCAAAGCTGCCATCACGACAAATAAGAATGTTACTTTTCCTAGCCCACCAGAAAGAATGATGTTTTCTCCGACTAAGGTAATCTCAACTCAAAACAATATCTCAACTGTACCTGTTCAAAACTGTTTCACCATAACTCAATTCAACCCTATCCTACCTTCATTAACTAATAATGGAAATGTGCTTAACCATCCACAACCTTTGCTAATTTCTAAATACCAACAGCCTACCGTTATCACATTACCGTGTGGTCAACTCATGGTCAGAAACTCGGCCCCCAACACTCCTGTTAATTTAAATCAATCCGCAAGTTTACTTAAGATTAGCCCTAGATCAAGTTCGATCAATCTAACTTTGAATACTTCAAAACCTCCACAAATAGTCTCTCCGTCGTCTTCAACCCCTAATCAACATCAACAGCTCAATACACCAGTTACAATCCAAATTTTCCCTGACGTTGAAACCATCGCTGACAATCCAATCATGAAACCAAAGGTATTTTTCTAATTTTTCAGTTATAAATATTCAAATTTTATTTTTCTTTTTTTATTACAGAATGGTGATTTTGTTAAAGGCAAATACCTGTGTATATTTTGTAAAGAATCCATCTACTTTGAAACTTATGAAGAAGCGCTATTCCATTTTTCAAGGCATTTGAATTACTTTCCTGTTAACTGTTTACTTTGCTTGAAAAAGTTTCAAGATATAAACTCGATCAATCAACATTTCATTCTTAACCATAACCATGATAGAGTGTGTGATGATGGTGATACCTGTTCTCCGTTACTTTATTACATCGATCAAAAAGCTGAGACAGAAAAATGGATCGAGGAAAACTTACGTTACCAAATTATCGGAGAGATGATTAGAATAATTGATCCGGATATGGCCCCATATTGTCCCGTCTGTCGTAGTATTTTGAATACCATTCCTCCTCACGATAAGCCACTTGTGCCACATATTGATGTTGTCCGATCCCACATTAACCATCATCTCAATTACAAGCCATACGAGTGCTTTCTGTGTAATCAAGGTGAACCTAGCATATCGGTGCGGTTCCCTTCGATTGGTGAGGCAGCGTTGAAACATCTACGCGATTATCATGGCTATACTCCAAATCTAGTTGAGTTGGTGAAGGAATTTTTCATTTTCAAACCAATAGCTGGTTTGGAAAATTTCATCAAAAGTTTCCTCATTAGCGATTATTACACGATCGCTAATCAATTTTTGAGGACTCGAGATGGACGATCATCCTTACCAACCGGAATTCCAGTTGCTAGTCCTCAAATTCCAAGACAGACCAGGACCTATGCTAGACCGAACGATTTAAATAAGCGTTTTTCCGACGTCGCAGGGCCACCCGAAGCTTCAACACCATTACAACACAAGCAATATAAAAATATATTGGCTTGCTATCATTGCAAGCAGATCGTTTCTGGGCCACAGGAACTGCATTCGCATACGAAGAGCAAGCATCCTAACTCATCGATAGCTGCTTATGCATTACCAGCCACAAATGGTTATTAAATTCTCGCTAATTTTGTTTTCTATATTAAATTTATGACGAATGACAATTTATTATTGTAAAATAATGCAATGTGTATTGTACTAATGATAAAGCCAGTAAATAAAGCCACTTGCAGACTTAATTAAATTTGCAATAGTTCAACATATTTAGCTAAATCACAAATGGTGATGCTTCTAGACAATAATTAACCAATGAGATCGAAAAATAATTCACCAATTTGTTAATATTCTGATAATTGTGCTAATTTTATTTATTTAAATCGAAATACGAAGGCGCCTTGAAAGAAAATTGCACGTTGCTATGACAACTTTAAACTTCAATTTTGTCTTTGGTCGCTCACCACGTGAAACTAGACATTTGGATACAACATTTTGTGTTTCACTAGTGACAATTAAAACGACGTACAAATAATTATATTTTTATGCCAATTGTGATAAGATTCACTCAACTAACTATCTAACTTGGGTAAGTTTTTTATTCTTCATCACTCTTACTATTTTGAGCTCTTTTCCAATTCTCTTTATTTACTATTTCCTTCCATCCATTTTAGGATTTAATCTGATGCAAAAAGAAACATGAAGAATAAAATAAGAATAGCTCCGAAAGCTACCAAGGGTAAAGGTAATCGATGGAGAAAAGGACAGAGCAGTAATTGTAATGCTTCAACTAAAAAGTTCCGCCAACAAGTAAATTTGATGAACCCTTTCTCCAAAAATTCAGCTGGGTGTGATGATTTTGAAGCTCTAAGACTTGACCAGCTAAGTGTAAGTGGTCGGCCGTTGCATGATAAGGAAAATATGGAAACAAAATCCATTTCAATGGATGTTGACCAAGAGTCAGTTGGCAGCTGTAATACCTTTGCTTCAATCTATACCAATTGTACCAACGTCAGTTTCTCTAAGCTAATGGAGCAATGGAATCCTTCTTCTCTTTTGCATCGAGAGATGATTGCTATTTTAGCTACTGTGACTGAGACTATAAAAGAAAAAAGCGGCACTGAAAGTGAGACTGAATACTTTGCTATTTTGGTCACTTTGCTTGAAACCACTGAGAAAGAAGAGACTTTGGCTGCCATTGCCTATCTACTGAGTATGGTGATAAAGAAACTTCCTGAAGAAGTTAAAAAGATCAAGTTTGCAGAAATAAGCCACGTTTTCACATCAACGATTGTTTCTCATCGAGAAAAAACAAATGGTTATTTGTTGATAAGTTTAATTCGATGCCTATGTGAACTTATAAAAAGTCAAGAGAAACATGTGATGAAATTAGTTCCAACTTTGGAGGTTTATCAAGTTCTTCTCGATTTGACTTTGGATAGCAAGCCGAAAATCCGCAGAGCTGCTCATAGATCTATTGTCAGCATACTTAAAGCGAGTAAAATCGTTTATGAAAATTCTGAGCATCATGTCTTGGCGCCGAAAACTGCTGAATTTTGCATACGAAAAATTAAAGACACAAGTACTGACAACATTAATGATGCTTTACATATGATAAATTTAATGAAAGATATAATCACTATTTTGCCAGCTGGAGCGCTTGAAGAGTGTTGCATCACTGCACTTCGAGCTATGAGCATCGGTAATGCCTTATTGATCAATGGAAGCTTGTCAGTTTTCTTGCAATTATTTAGCTCCTCTTCGCCACTTCGAGAATTAAAACCGGATCTAAATATCAAGCTGATAAATAACTTACACGTTAAATGTCCAAGTTACACCGACTCTCAACTTCTCACCTTGTGGATAAATGTCATGAAAGAAGGTTATTTGAGTCTTTACTCGCTCGACAAAACAAAATGCTTAGGAATGCTCGCAACGTTTTTCAATTCAACTTTACCTTGTTTCATACAAAGTGACTCCAAAATCGTCCATATTAATTTAGCGACTGCACTTCAGCAAATCATTCAATCTATACTTTCACCATCTTTATTCGAATTGGATGGAAAAGTCTTATCAAATATCATGGATGATTTTGAAAAAGGGTTATCTTTCAAGTATCAAAATGCTTGGGGATATATTTGTAACATAATTGGAACGTTGATGGAACACATTGGCAAACAAGCACCCAACTTGGTTTCTCGTTTTATCGAAATACTAAAGAACCTTCGTGAAGGCTACAATACCAAATTTTTGGGTGATATTGATAGTGCTTTAAGCAAAGCTATCAAATTTATTGGTCCCGAAGTGATACTTAGTATAGTGCCCATTCAACAGGACCTCCTTGGCAGCACTCAATTTGCTCATGATTGGCTATTACCATTACTCCGTGATAATATCGAAAAATCAGAGCTTGGTATATTTAAAAAGCATTTCGTTCCACTTGCAAATGCAATCGAAATAAAAATGAAAAAAATGGAAAAAGAGAAAAAAGCAAAATTGGTTAAACTATATTCAGCTATATACAATCAAATTTGGTCTCTTCTACCTTCGTTTTGTCGCAATCCAACTGATATTGGACTTTTCAATGTAGAATTTGCTAAGCTCATAAACAAGAAAATTATGGAGAATGCTAATATTAGAGGCCACTGTTTAGCTGCTCTTCGTAATTTGATTACAACTACGTCAGAAAAAGAACTTGGCACTATAAAATCTTTTGCCAAAAGATATCTCGCATCTTTCTTTCAACTATACACTAATCCTGATATTAATGGCTCTGGAACTGAAGATGGTGCACGAATTTACGAAACTGCACGGGTTTACCTGACCATTACAAATGAAGAAGTTCGTAACCATTATTGTCTGGAGATCATTAATAACTTAAAGGGATTTGATAAACTTGACGAAAATAATGTCAAGACTAGAAATTATCTATTGGATCTATTGTTATTATTCATCCCCTATTTAAAATCAGCAGAGGAAATCAAGTTAATCTACCAAGACATCATCCTTCCTGCTATTCAAAAATTAAATAATAAACCCAATGAAAAATCATCTTTGAAAAAGGTGTATCGATTGGTCCAGGAAATCTGTAGCAATGAACACTGTAAAGAGTTTATTTCATCCCTCAACATTGATGTGATAAAAATGTTGATTGGATTATTTGAATCAAGTCCGGATCAAATCAAATACTTGCCTGTTAATTCGATAAGTATTTTATGTGAAAAGGGAATTATTCAATTGGAGAAGAAAAATATCAATGATATTTTAAAAGTGATTATTGATTGTGTTGCAACTGGAAGGAAAAAATGTAAAAAAGCTGGATTTACCTTACTCATCAACCTCCCTTCGTATTTCAACAATAATACAACTTTTGTCCAACAAAGCCTGGTAAATCTTATCTCTATTTTCAATAAAGACCTTAAGCCTGCCGAGATTTTGGTTCTGGGACGTGGAATATTAGAGCTGAATCAGGAAGAGTTGGCCAATGATGTTAGAAGTAAATTGTTCCAGTTCTTAGATTTATTGAAAAATGAACAAAGATCCATCGTCAAAGCTGTTTTCCAAATTCTCAATTTGTGGATTAAAACAACTAACAAAGAAGAGCTGTCCCATTCTGTTTATAACATCGTAATATCACTCAACACTTTGAGCGAAAATCACAAGAAAGCTTTCCGACGTGAAGTTAAGATTATTCTTTCTAAACTTGTTCGCAAGTTTGGATATGATATGATCTCCAGGTTTGTTCCTGAAGTGTATAGTAAAGTATTGAGAAACATTCGGAAGTTGGAAGCGCGCAAAGCCCGTTCGAAAAACTCTAATGAAGTTGACGATGATGAAAGTGAAATCACTACCACAACAACGCATAAATCAACCAAGTCTATGACTGATATTTTATCTGATGATTCAGATAGCGATGATTTGTATGAAGATGATAACAGAACTCAAGCCTCCTCAAGAAGATCGAAAAAGAAGCGCTCTCAAACTTTCATTGAAGAGAGAGCAGATGAAGAAGAAATTCTTGATTTAATGGCTCCAGATATTAATAAAAGAATACATTCTTCTAATCCATCGAGAAACAATTCTTCAAGATCCACTAAAAAGGAACCTTTCCCAATGACAGAGGATGGAAAACTCATAATCGACTTTAAAGATTCTCGTGGATCTAAGAGGAAGAGAGATGATGATGACGATGTTGATGAAGACCTTGACGAAAATAATGAAGACGATGATGATCGATTAACTATGACCAATGTCTCCAGAACATCTAAAACTTCAAAATCATCTAAAATATCTAAAGTATCTAAGATGTCAAAGACTTCAAAAGCTTCTCAAGATAGAGCTAGTTATAAACATGGAGGAAAAGGTATTCACAGACCGATTAAGAAAAGAAAAACTGGAATTAAAGGAGTCAAAACAGGGGAAGAATTCAAAGCCAAAAAGGCAGGAGGTGACATCAAGAGGAAAGATGGACCTGATCCGTTTGCGTATGTTCCGTTGAATGGAGCTTTATTAAATCGAAGAAAAAAGAACAAATTCAAAGGCTATTTTAATAAGCTAATTACATCAAAAGGCAAATCTGAAAAACAGAATTAATAAGATAAAATAAAATAATGTAAAGCTTTTGTTGGTATCATTAAAAAATATGTGAATTCAATTTAACTGTCTTAAAATTTTTTGAATCTAAATAACCGCGTCTAAACTAGCAATGCACTCGATTAGCATGTAATATTGCGTTTGTTTATAACTCAACCAAGTTGGTTGATTAAGCAATTAGATAATCTACCGAAGGCTTTAGAACCAGTTTAACTAGCAGAATAATAGATTATCTAATCGTTTATTCAGTCGGTATGATTTAGATACACAAAACTAAGCATAGCTACCTCCAATATTGAATACCTCCTTTGAATTTATAGATATTTTAATTGAGTAGTGAATAACTAGTACATTTAAGACTAACTAAACTTAAATTATCAAAAGGCTCACATAATTGCATCGATAGCAGTAACGTTCTAGACAAAGTTGATCAATGATCAGAAATTTTTTCCATGACGAAGAAATCAGAGCAAAATCTTTTTTTACAAATTGTTACTTATTGCAATACATTCAGACATTCAACATATTAATAATAACTGGGATTAGCTATGGATTTACTTGATCATCTTACTATCTTTTTTGTCGCTCTAGTTTATTTCAGATTATAAGAGTTGAAAAAATGATTGTCTATTGAACAAGTAATAGTCTACAAATTGTGACGCAAAAAAAGCAATGTGAGAATGAAATTGAGTGTATAGAATGATTTGATGAAATGATCATCTCAGAACAAACATCATTTGAAACGCCAATTTGATATTTTAAATCAATAAAATGTCACCGAAAGAATCAAAGGTAAGCAAACCATGCATTTTAAAAGTTATGTTGAATGTTAAATTGAATGGTGAACTAACATGGAAAAATTTTTTGGACAAAACAGGATGAAAGTCCATTTGCGAAAGCCTCGTTCTTCAGCCGCTTGCTGTTCATCTGGTATGATTCAATGGCGTATAAAGGTTACCGAAAGGCGCTTACACAATCGGATATGTGGCCTATGATAGAAGATCATCAAACTGCTTCGATTGTTAAAAAGACTGATCCCTATTTTGAGCCAGTCTTGAGTTCATCTAATGAACCAGCTAAAACTAAACCAGTACTTAAAGTGAATACCTTCAAAGTGTTGATCAAAGTATATTGGCCAATACTATTGTTCGGATCGGTGTGTAAATTGATTTCTAGTTCCCTTGTGTTTGCGAATCCCCAGTTATTGGATGCTCTCTTAACATTCATTGTTTCGGATGAACCAATATGGAAAGGTTATGTTATTGCTTCCCTTATGTTTGCGACTTCGCTCTTTCAATCCCTCTTGGATTCTCAATGTGAATTTTGGACGCAAGTAGCCTCAATGAAAATGAAATCAGCTTTGACCGCAACAATCTACAGAAAAGTAAGATGAAAAGCTAAAATTATATGCAACAAGTTTAATTAAAGTTTGTTTCTTTTTTGTTTTCTTAAATGATAAACAAAAAAGAGCCTCCGATTGTCAAGTTTAGGTAGACGTAACAATACAACTGGTGAGGTGGTTAATCTGATGGCCGTTGATATCCAGCGTATTATTGCTTATATCAATATTGCTTCCCTCATGTTGTCTTCACCAATTCAATTAGTGATCACGATATACTTGTTATGGCGACAATTGGGTGTTTCGTCCTTTGCAGGTTTAGGTGCTATGCTTATCTTTATACCTTTCAATGGATTCTTTACAACTCGCTTTAAGAAATGCCAATCTCAGATTATGAAGGAAAAGGACGCTCGAAGTAAAATGATTTCCGAAATTTTGAATGGTATGAAAGTTTTAAAACTGTATGCATGGGAAGGTGCTTTTGGTGAAATTGTTGCATCAATTAGAAGAAAAGAAATCAAGATTCTGAGATTCCAATCCATTTGGCTAGCACTTATTTTCTTTGCACTTGGTTGTGGACCTTTTCTGGTGAGTTTTAAAATATTGGTTAAGACGCAAAAGAGCTCTAGTTAAATTCAAATAACTGATTCAACACACGAACAAATATGCTTAAGTCTAGAAAAGTGATTGAATTTACTCGAGAATGTAAACATTAGCGCTGAAGAACAGTTTGCTTCGATCTGCACAAAATTTGCTTAATAAATCGACTCTTTTCAATCTTAAGCTCTTGTGAATCTACAATTTGGGTTTTAGGTTGTTGCTGAAAAGAAACAATTAACACACTCATTCCCGAGTTGACAAAAAGGGGCTAAAATGGGTAAAATTGAATTTCTTTCAAACTAGGACTGTTTAAGTTTGTTTGCACATAAAAATTGAATCAATTGATGCGATTGGAAAGCTTCTCTGATCGATAGTTGTCACAAAAATCGAGTCCAAAGTTGAAACTTCGATCGCTTGTTGTACGTTTATGGAAGTATATTTTTTCTTGAAACTCA